CATACAAAACATACATCCTTCCCTCCACCCTCGTATCCGCTTGTCCCCGTAATACACGTCAAGTAAGCCGACGCTGCCATTCAATTCACCTTCCCTTGGTCGCTACCGCCCAGTCCGACTCGGGACCAGCACCCCATGACAATGACAGCTCCTGAACGCTCCCCCCAACTCTACATATCTACTACCAGTATGTAGACATTCCCTCTTTGGAAATTCCTGCAATGTAAATTACTCGGTCGCTCACCACCACAAGAAAGGCACTGATGCGGCACATGATCAAATTCGAAAATCATTGACATTTTTTCAAATTCTTCTCATCATCAACACTCTGAAACTGCCTCTCGACGTTCAGTTGGTCATTCGCTCCTTCACCGAAAGAATTCAATCAAACATTGAACACCGGAAATCCCAACGAGCCTGAACGCTTCAATTTTGTCAACCCTTGTGCTCCCTTGCGAGGATTGACCAGGTCTTTTTTTTTTTTTTTTTTTATTCACCGTAACATTTTAGGGATCATATTCAACGTCGAGGATCGTCCAACAACACCCAGGGAACAGAAAGCGAATCAATCATACAGGGCTGGTGATCCTCTCGTCGACCAGTAAATCCGACGTCCACGTGAACTCGCCTACTGGAAAGCCGTGGAGAATGAATATCTCACCTTTGAATTGCCGTTGGCCTCCTCGATCTCCCCCTCCAGGCTCCAGCTCCACAATGGCAATTTTCAAGTGTTTCACCTAGCTCCATATTACTTGGCGAATAAAACTCAATTACCAACCAAACAACTTCCGCTCTCTGCTGAATTGCTTTGATGGCGCTTACTCGCGACGCAACCGACCACACGCTGACAAGACCAAGTGCAGCTTATGCACTGAGCAGGATATCTATTTCCGTCTCGCTTAACAAGAAAACATACAGCTGTTATGGATACCAACGACCACCACTCACACGCCCTGTCCACGCCCAAATGGCAGACACTCGGAGTTCATTGATGCGGGTCACCACCACCGATTACACCAGCCAAGATCTCCACATACAACACAACTTTGAACTCGTGCTCGTGTGGTTTAAACCGATCACCCCCACGTCTCGTGGCCAGGCATTCATTCATCTCCACACCCTCCACCCCATAAGCATCCAGCGACCACGCAGATCGCAAGGCACCAACTCAGGGGCGTTGGGGGCCATTTAAACATTTAAACCCGCTTACAAGTCACAATGAGGGTACATAACTTTGGTTATTTAATTCTTGCGCAGCAGCGATTGTCGGAGGTGGAACTCGCCGATATTTGGTCCTTGGAGGACAGAGCATTCCGCTTTTGGTATTCGATATTTCGTGACCGGGGCCCGAAAGTCTTCGTCTGTGTCATGGATTTCGGACGTCGCCGCGAATGTTCGAGAGCGAGTCTACCTCTGCGCTTACTAGCCTTCACGGAAGATGCTTTGAAGTCTCGCCTTGGAGTTCAGACATCTTGGGGTTCGCGGTCTCTTCCAACAGCAAGAAGTCATTATTATTTTACTTTCCTCTTGCTGCTCAAAGCAAACTCTACCGTCTCGCTCTTCCTCGGCGCATGTGTTTGATGCGACGTCGACGCTTCGGAATTCATATACATTATGGGGCTCGCAGTCTCTTCCACCAAAGAATTATTATTTTCTACTTTTGTCTTACCGCTCAAGGCAAACCCTACCGTCTCACTCTTGCTCCGCGCATGTGTTTGATGCGACGTCGACGCTTGGGAATTCTATACCCCATCTCGGAGCGCTCCCACCCGAAGCAAAACATTTTTTTTTCTAAGTCAACGAGGTCGCTGGTACCATCACATCAAAAGCAAAGCCATGAAATCGCAAGAGAATTCGAAGCTTTTGAATCAGGTACGGGCTTTAAACCTTAGAAATCGGGCCATCAGATTTTCTAGAGGTGCTTTTTACTACCTTACGATAGGCGATGTTATCACATCATACTTTGGAGAAGCTGTGATGCGGCATGTGGGTGGGTGAGTTTATTTCTTGCGGCATAGCTACTGAGCTTACACAGGATCTTACCACAGAAGAAGCTTCAGGCTGTTGCTTGATGGTACAGACGAGCTTACTTTGTTGGTTTCGCGAATAGATGCTTACTTTTGACGAGTCAAGGTGACTGCTGTATGAAGGGGTGTGATTGTAGTAAGAGCACAGCTAAGCTTATACACACATTTTTGTTTCGCCGTGGATAAAATTTAAATCAAAGCCTTCCTCGTCGGGTGCACTAAAGAGTTCTCCTTGTATTTTCGCTTATCTGCCGGCGCCTGCGATTTACTCATTTTACGCGGGCTTTATGCACTTCCCCACCTGCTCCGTCGCCACCACAGCGCCCGCACCCACTCTACATGACGGTGTATGAGTAAAATCAGGGTTCAGTACCATTTCTACATCCCCCTTTGTAGCCATTCAAGCAAATTTGAATTGACTTCACAACAACAACACTACTTCAAGCTCAAAATTGAACAACAAAAACCTCAACGGAGAACTACCAAAGTAGTAGCCCGAAATCTCAACATCAAGCTCTCTTGTAAACGTGCCTGCTTGCCAATTAGTAAGGTGCGAACCTTCGCACTGATCTGGGTGATCGGTCATAATTTTAGATTAATGCGCTTTGAAGTTGTCATGCTATGCTTCCAAGGCTGTACCTGCTCCCCGTACATACTTCAAAAGGATAATAATAACCTAGCTAGCATCTGGGTACTTTGTTAACAAATGCATCAATCCGTTTCATGACGAGCGCTTTCAAGTTCTGCTTCTTTATCACCGCCTTTGCGTCTATCAATGCGTCTCATGAGGAGCAGGAGTCGGAGTTCTCACCATAAGCAAAAACACCTCCTTCACATCTTCTACGTGTGTCACGGTGCACTGGCGCGCTCGACACCTTCTCATCGTTAATGCTCGACTTGATCGGCCGGAGTCACGGAATCATTTTTCCAGCTCGAGCTGAGATCGATCGTCTATTGCCTGAGTCGTAAAAAGGAAATTATGGCGGGACGTCGGGCGCACTAGGTGCGGTCAAGTTTCATGCATGCTGCGACCTGCAGGTTATTAACAAGTTCAGAAAGTTCGTAACCATCTTTGCCAGTTTTACGGGCCTCCTGCTTTGATGTACACCGCTACTTGTGACTGCGGTTAGTACAGCGTAGCTGTTTTTGATGCGCTCCGCATGGAAACTCTTGCTTCTGCGCAATGCCTCTCGTTCACAATTAGACCAAAATTGTATGAGTGATCCATTTACACTCGGATGGGTCGCCCAACCATCCCGCCGGAAACGGGCAGTGCTCAAAGGGACCTTGTGGGGGCCCAAAATTATTTTCTTCGATGTGCCATGCTCCAGCAGCTCCACCATAATGCTCACCCAGGAAGATTGGAACAAGTGTCGATCACTCTCCACACTTTTTTCTTCGCTTCTGTTTCGTTTCGACAGGAAATCTTAAGTCTCTACTTACGAAGTATCGGAGTTATACAAACATCGACGGCAAATCGTCACAAGGACCTTTCCTACATTACGCCCCCATCTTCAAACCCGGTACGGAACTGCACACCTACTTCTTGCGGCCTTTCCGGCGCTCGGGGACAGCGCTCCTATTCCTGACGCATTCAGGACAGTACCACTTGTCTGGGAGGGGCGTTTTTACGCCAACGCAACTGATATGGAACTGAGGTGGGTATCAAAAATGGACATCGGTGAGCACGGTGTTTAAACGGAAACGAGGCAAAGAAGGCGGTCAACGGAAAAAAAAAAATCTCAAGTTGCATAAGCACCAAAATTTAATCAAGTTGACGAAAGTCCGGTGTGTCGCTGGGCCTCCCGAACCTACCGATACTGACGGGGGGAAAAAAAAGGCAGATATGGGGATCGTATCCGACGAACAGCTGTATTTTTGGGGAAAACAAAAATTGCTGAAATGAGCACTCACCCACTGATAAGGGCACTCGAGATTGTCGCAGCCTATCATCTGGAAAAAATGTAAGACGTCAGTGGTGTTTTACGACGCAGGCTGAGGGATATGACTTACATCTCCGAAACTCGGCTTGTGGCAAAAACAATAGGGCGTCAAATCATCTTCGGCGTCTTCTCCTTCCAAATCTTCCTCTCCTTCTGCATCTGCATCCAAGTCTTCTTCTTGCTGTTGCTGTGATCGCGTGAGCTGTACCTGCCGTGAAAGGCGGGATTTCGGGTACGAAACAACTGGAGCAGCTTGGGGTGTCGAAGGTGTAGGGCTCTGCAGCTTAATGGACGTAGTTGTTGTTATGCGGCGTTCTGTTGTCCCAATGAAGAAAAGGCAAATAAAGAAAAGCGATAGTTAGTAAAGTTGGGAAGGTAAAAAAGAAAAGAGACAAAAAAGAACACCGCAAAATAACCCAAAATATGTTGAGAATCTGGTTCAACCCGGACGCTCCACGACGCATAGCCTCAACACATTCCCATCCCGTTGCTTAAATGCGGCGAGCTAATACCGCATTGCACAAAGTGTGTTTTTCATCAATGTGACGCACTTTTGTTATATGAAGGCCCAGACACCATAGCTGGAGGAGTCGAAGGGACACTGGAGTCCGCAGATCCGAGTCCAGTCCTTGCCGTAAGAGCCCGTACGCCCTCCCCGGACTGTGCCACTAGATTCAAACCTCCCGACATTCCTTCGGGCCGCCTAGCGCTGTACGGCGTTGACACAGATTCGCCTTGTAAAACCTGCACGTTTACCAGATTCGCATCGACTCTAGCCCGCGTGCGTGTTATCAAGTCAATCAACCTCTGCGCTAAAACAACCTTTTCATTTGAAAGAGCGTCGATCTCCACATAGGAAGCTGCAATGCGAGCGGGGAGGTGCGCCTTCGGAACCAGTTTATTTTGGGTTGAAACTTGAGGCGCTTCTCCAGGGGCGTCTCCACCAGCGCTATTTAATTTACTGCCGATTTGCGCAGGTGATGGGACGGCTGGATCTTGACGAAGAGAATATTTAATGTATTTCGCTTGATCTTTTGCGATATCTTGCTGAAGTTCTACAAATGATTTGAGCAAACAATGTCCCGATCAAGGGGGAGCGAGTCGTCAGCGTGCGTGTTCTTGTAAAGTTGCATAAAAAGGCGGTTTATGAACCGCCACAGTCAGCCGAGGACTGCGACGTCACCGTACGCGACAGATAACCACTATGGGTTCAAAAGTAGCTGACCTTGACATCGTCGATCTTTGAGTCGTATCTCGTTGAGTAGGTGTTGGACTTCGCTGGGCAAGTTATCCAGACCTATACGACGAAGGCCAAGTCAATTGAATACCAGACCAAGTAAAAATGAAATAGATGAAGTTAATAATGGTCCGAAAATTAGGGGGATAAAGCGATAGCATGTGCAGACTGATCGAATTTAGACGAAAGAGCGGGGTGGGTATTGGAAATTATGTGTCACGACGAACTGACTGGTGATCAAGTCGGATGCAAGGTTTGCTGCTTCTTCGAGATTTTGCACAGATGCCGCGACGGTGCCGGCCATTGTAAAAAACTAGAGAACTGTGAAACCAGAGCTTGAGGCTTGGAAGGTTATTCGAGATCCCACCGTTGACAAAAGCGTCGAGGTGAAACAACTTACCAGCTATGGGGGTGCTGTAACTCTGAAGATCGCACTAAAATTTAATCCTACTGTGAGAAGATAAAGAATCAGGGTTAAAAATGCCCTGGTTATCGGCGTAGTTATCGGGGTGATGGAACGGATACGGAAAGTCGAGACTCAGAAAGTTTGGATTTTACAAGTTGAGAAAACTCAGAGAACTAGCGGATTATCTCACAAACGGAGGACTCCGATTACTTGTGCCGAGTGCCGTCAACTAAATTTGGGACCATCCGTTCCATCATACATACGACCACTGGAGGTGGGCTAACGATATACGTAGCCTTTCAGAGTATTGCACGCAGGTCTGCGGCATATGTGATATTTTTTAGACGTGTCCTACCTCCAGACATTATTTATACCACCTGAGGTCTTGCAGCAGTGTTCAACTGAAAAACACATCCTTGCATACATTGTTATTCTGGACACCATGAGTCCACAGGTTCGAAGCGACGATTTCAAGCTGACGAGCAAGTGTCTCCCTGAGGCTCTATATTTCTCAATCCTGTGGATTACCAGGAAGAGAGGCTGTGGCCAAACGAGAAATACGCAGATAATTTTGGGCAAGAGGTATCATCGCATCCCCCATTTGATGGTTCGAACGCTTAATTTCGGATAGGATTGCGGTATCAAGGGATTGAAACGACATTGGGAACTCTTTGGCGTCCCAAAGGAAATCGGAGCGGTGATAGGTCCGTAAGTGCGCTCCTTGAGAGGTCACTGCGGCAGCCGTTGTTGTTAGATTTTGCTTCCATATCATGAGTGACAAAAGAAGGCTGGGTGTAATCGGGTGAAAAGCCGAAGACAACGTCACCAGGCTGTCCCTGTCTTCATCAGTTTAGGGCCATGACTATTATTGGATGCGGCCATGGTGGTCAATGTCTAGGGAGTAGTTGATCGACTGTATCAAATGGGGCATCCGTTGTGGGTACTGAGGCAGTGGCAGGTCCGAAACGCATGCCGTGCAGCGGTAGCTGTACGGTGGGTATATCCTAGCTTCTCTTTCGTACCTGGACCATAGCATATCAAATATCGCTGCGAGGATCCAAACGGTGCCTTCGCCGAGGATCCACGCGCCTCAAGCAACAGACAAAAATGAGAATGTGCTGACGCCAACAACCCCAGCGGAGATTCAGCCTGTAACGTTCATGAGCGTGCAACAGAAAACTTAAACCGTCTTCGCCCAGAACCTTTGCGTCCAGAGTGGGCCTAGAAGTCCGGTTGAAGTGGGTTGTGCGGCTTCCTCTCAACTGATGTTTTGCCTTCTTTGAAGAAATAATGGAGCCTCCGCCGGAAAGTTGTTTAGCTCAGATAGGAAAAAATGACTCACCATCATTGCAGCAGTCAGTCACACGCGTTGCAAACGAGTGCTCCCTCTGGTCTACAGCTCGAGAAGTATAGATTATGTAGTCATCGAGGGGTGAGGTGCAGCTGAGAGTATTTCCGAGCTCAATCAGCGGGAGTTTTATCTTGATCGAGGAACCCTGAAAAAGGCTTCTTCAAAAAAGTGGGGTAGAGAAGCACAAGATAGTCCAGGGGTTCTAAAGGGAGAAACCAAGGAGAAACAACAGATCAAGCTGTCAAGGTGGAGCCCCCGTGTAGCAAAGAAAGAAAGAAGAGAACATCGGGCAAGTAGAGTTCATAAGGCTGCAGACGGTCAAAATTCCATTGGGTTATTGCGGAGCAAAAAACAATATCGAGCAGGCACCTCGGTCGTGGGGACTTCCAGACCAGCAACATCCAGCTCGAGAAAGAACCCCTTGAAAGTCACTAAAATTGGGCGTCCCGGCAACCTCCTTTAATCGTTGGGAAGTTAGCGCTATGCCGGGGAAGGTAAGCACAACAAAAATACCTCGAGGTCAAGAGCAGTGTTGGAGATCGTGTCACACCCTCACGCATCATGTGACACTAGCTCTATCAACCTTGCCGACGCTTCAACTTTTTCAAGTTGTCCGAGTCGCGCCACGACACTTCCTGGAACCTGAAGGAGACTTTGTGTCCACAAATTTACTGGATGTCATTTGAAAATACCTCAGTCACAAAAGGTTCGTTTCGAACGCTTCAAGCGTAAAGAGACTCAGTCATGTGTATGATAATGTAGCGCTCATTGCCGGGTCTGCCCTCACGTCTATTCTCGCGGGGATGTTTGATGTGAAGCACTATTTTCATATTCAAGTAAGGAGGAACATGCACAGAACCGGATTTTACGCTTATCCCGTCTCACAGTTCGTCCCTCACATCTCACGGCACCACCAGGTAATGTTGTCGCGTTCCCCGACAAGGAACGCCCCCGAGCCTGATCTAGTTCTAACTTCACGCTAGTACTGGCGTTTGTTCGTGCATCATCTCGCCTTTTCAAACTCTAGTGATCTTTTTCTTGGTGTTGTTATCCTCTATAATGTGGGGGTGCAAATAGAGCGTCAGTTTGGAAGTGTCAAATTCGCGGTCAGCACCATTATTCTTTAGGCTTCCAAGCATGACTAATTTCTATCCCAATAGTCCTTTGCGTTGGTGTCGATCATGGTTTCGACTCTACTTGAACTGGTTTCTCTAATGTTGTTTCACCGCGTTGGCCTCAACTTCATGTCACTTGGTCCCTCAGCCTTGATATTCAGCATCCTTTACCAGTATTCCAGGATTGTTCCACCTGTCTATAACTATCGCATCTTTGGGATACCGCTAAGCAACAAAAGTTTGAATTATGTACTTGCACTTCAAGTAAGCTCGATTTCTATCATGATGGAATTCATAGTGACCATCTACAGATGGCAATTAGCCGCCTGCCGGGCTCAGCAGCTGTGGCCATCATTGGAATACTCACTGGCCAACTCTACCGCTCCGACTTGGCGGGTTTCAAATCGTATCGCATCCCCCCTTACGTTGTGCGGTTTTCAACGAACTACCTCCTACCTTTGATTGGATCTCTTCGGGCTCCTCGTCGGTCTAACCGCGCGCTTCCAGATGGTGCCACCACCCTCGAAGTGCCATTTCAAAACGAGGAGGTCATCACGACGGCACGAACTCCTGCGGCGTCACCGTCGGGAACTCGCAACATCACTAGTCCTGATAACGCTGCGTCGAATCCAACAGTGATGCAAGAATGGGTGGACACTCTGACGGGTAGGGGAGAGCGTGCCAACGCAGGCATCCGAGCGCCTTCAGAGGCTGAGATTGTTCAAGTAACAAGCATGTTTCCGGATATTGACCGAGCAGTTGTAATTGGCGCGTTACAACGCAGGTGAGTCTTCTCTACCTGAATAGAGCGGCCATTGAACTATGACTAGTCCCAATATCGAAGGCGCGGTAGAAACACTACTTCTTACGCAGAGATAGTCATAGACGATTGTTGGATATTTAGAGAGCATGATATTCTCGCATCGTGCGGATAAAAATGGCGCATCGTTCAGTAAAAATGGTGCTACGGCTACAGGATCAAAGCTCTTGCTCCTCCTCTGATGCTGAGCCAGTCTCTTCGTCTTCTCCTGTGAAGGCATCTGGCGGAACGGAGTAGAGGCGGATGACAGGCTAAAAGCGGGAACAGTTAATGTCGAACAGTCCAACATAGTTTCATGCATACCCTGTTAGGATCTTTGACCAAAACGTATTTGCCCTCAGGCATTTTCATGCACATATCTGTAACGGTGCGAACTATTCCCCATCCGTTCGCCAAAGAGACGTTAAGTTGTGCCGCGAATTCGGTCGGCCGCATCGAAGCGGTACTCAGGATAACATGACGAGTATTGTCACGGGGGTTGGCTCGTGAGATATAGCTGTTGAGGATAGTATGAGTATAAACGTCGAAAGGCAAAGGTTGGTAGCAAAAAAGACAAAAATGACGCGATTGAACACGAATAGGAACATGAAATTATGATCAACGCACCCAATCTTCATGAGATCAGCACCAGCCAACACACTCTGAACAGCCCATTTGGCAAGTTTGCAGCTGTTGTTCTTCATCTCCGTGGCTACCACAGCACCGCGTTGGGAGTCCAATTTAGACCGCCAGTCGGGCGCTCCGCCAGCCCCTTGGGCTCGTGGATCGAATTCATTGAGAGCACGGATCGTAACCAGACCTTGGCCCTCACGAGGATTGCCTGAGCCCGGGGAATAGGCATCAACTTCGGTACGGACGCAAATTTTAATATCCTCATCTTCCGTGATGCCGAGGTCGAAAAGCCTGTAGCGATAACCGCATGATGCAAGAGGTTCGGTTTCATCCGGTCCATAGAAAGGGTTGGGGTTCGCAAAATCGACGGGGGCAGGAGGGGCGGATTCGATGACTGATTGGAATCCAAAGTTCTGATTAATGTAGGTGGCTTCGAGGGATAGGGATGTTGCTGTATTTATGGCAGCTGTTTCGGGAACGGCAGGTTTTTCGCTTGGGTTGTTTGGATTTGGAGGAGCTGGGTCCTGAGGAGGATCTGCCGCATTTTCGTTCACAGTCACAGTATCGAATGGGCCTCCATCACGCTTGTCAAGGAAGAGCTTGTTACCCTCGCGAACTATCACAATATCCCAAGGATAGACGGATCTCGGTGCACACATAAGCACACTGAGAATAATATCCGTCGTGTAAACCTTGGCAACATCTTTACCTACAAGCTAGTTCATGTGTCAGAATTAAATCAGGGAAGACTGTAGGATATTGAACGGACTTGTTGGATGACTGGATCGTCAGAGGTAGTTGGATTGTACTTGATGCGGTCCACCAGTTGAAGAGGTTTCTCAGTTTTCGTGGTTACACGATCGTAAGTCTTGTCGTAAGCAAAGAGACGACCATATGTTTCGCTGAAAATGCGTTGATGAATAGCCAAGGAGCGAAAGAACAGATGAACCCACAGTTCCTCAGGTTCATCAACCTCCAAACGTAGCTTTGCAAGTCGATGGAATTCAATCTCTTCAAGCATTGACCATTGCGGTGAAATGACGACAGACGACTCGCGTGTGCGATTGTTCTAGACGACAGAAAATGGTAAGATGGGTCAAAGAATTATTTTGACGGGACGCATGCCTTTTCCCAATCTCTCCAGCCTCTCCGCACACCACCTCGCTGATTCATACCTCCACGACCAGCAGGCCCGCCACGAGCGCCCCGAACAGCGCCCCTGGCTCCATACCCTCTGGCTTGTCCACGTCCCCGGATGAAACCGCCTCCACGACGAGGTGGTGCTGCTTTGTTGTCCACGAGCGAGAAAGAAGATTCATCTTCAACATGAAAGTATGCGAATGCGCTTGCGGTACCACTCCCGAAAGCCTGATTTCCTTCCCTTCTGCGGCCGCCTGGCCCTCCAGCTCGAGCATTTTGTGTTGATGGAAGGCCAACCGTCGATTGTCGGTTATCCGACGAGAGATCGTTCCAGTCGGCGAACCTTCCTAACTTGTCAGATTTTGAGTACGGGGCATAAGGAATGTCCTTGAATTTGAACTGATCAGGAAGATTTGAGGACGTTGATGGACCCCATCCTCCGTCAGGATTATCATGAATTGGAGGCAGCGAAAAGGACGGCATTTTGTTCAGCGATGGTCTTGCTGAAGCCAAAAATTTAGAGTTCAAAGGCAAGACTCAAATCGTGGGAAACTGTGAGCTCCTGTTTCCTTGCAATGAAGTGAGTTGTGCTCTAATGCTACAACTCTTCTGAATACTCAACGCTCTCCTCCCCGCAGTGTCGTCAAAGAAATTAACAAGATAAACCAGGCTGAACTAGACCTGGGATTGAGCGGCGCATCATGGCATGACGAATACAAGGATTCGGCATATGTCTTTGTTGGAGGTTTGCATTTCGACCTGACGGAGGGCGACGTTATCACCATTTTCTCTCAGTGCGTACCCCAGCACCTTTCTTTGTTGTGCAATAACTAACCCGTCATTAGATATGGAGAGGTAATGGATCTCCACATGCCTCGTGACAAGGACACGGGAAAGACGAAAGGATTCGGATTTCTGATGTACGAGGATCAACGGTCTACAGTGCTTGCCGTTGACAATCTCAATGGCGCAAAGGTGCTGGAGAGAACGCTCAGGGTTGACCATGTCAAAAACTACAAGCAGCCCAAAGTCAAGGGAGAAGACGGCGAATGGCAAGAACCTGAGGACCAGAGCTTCAACGCGCGACCTCAAATGATTGACGGTGAGTTTATTATAATCATTTCCCCCCACCCAGTGTTCGTGAACTAAACCTGCTCTTTTAGACGGCGGTGCAGATTCTGATTCGTCTGCGTCAACTGGGGCCGATATCGACCCCGAGGATCCTATGCGAGACTATCTTTTACAGAAAAGGAGAGAGGAGAAGGCTCTTACGAAGCCTAAAAAGCACAAGTCGAAAGGGAAACATAAAGACGAGACCCCAGAGGAACGCAAAGCGAGAAAGGCGAGGAAGAAGGAGAAGAAAGTCAAATCGGAGGGCATGAGAGCTGTTGAGAGCCTGCTGAGCAACTTGGGGAGACGCGATCTTGGACCGTCAACCCGCTCTCGTTCAAGAAGTCCTGGGGGAGACAGACCACGTCGTGGGAGTCGATCGCCTACCCGCTATCGGGAAAGTCCACCAGGTCGTAGGGAGCGTGCCTCGGATGACCTTGACTACGAGGCACGCAAGAAACGTTCGAGGTACTCAGATGATGACCGATCTAGAGATGTTCATCGACAGGGTTCTGACTCACGATCGTCGAAAAGGACTCGAGATTTCGATTGATACTTTTTGATACACCCACTGGTCAAATCTAGATCCTGTAAGTATACAGAGCCTGTTTGAACTGATCCGTCTTCAACCTGATGCAGATCATGATCTGGCGTCAACCATGATTGAATTTTCCTGAGAGCAATTTCAACACAAGGTGACACCTAACTAGAAGCAGATCTATGGGTGAATTCAAATACATAAACAGGGAATATCGACGTGGTCGTGAGGAAAACGTTTGTACTGGGTATGTGGTTTCGAACGTGTGAGTCAACTAGATGACAATGATACGTGAGGGAGATACATGCATTACTGCAGCGGCTAGGATACGCGTCTAATTTGTCCATAGATAGATATATAGATCCCCTGCAGAAAGGATAGCGGAAATAGTCATTGCAATGTCCGAGGAGGAAAGCGAAAGGGAGTCCATAAAGGTGCATCAAGATCCTGTACAGGGAGTTGAGGGAAGGGTGGCATTTACGGCGTTCCATGCACTAAATGAAAGATGTTCAGATGGAAGCGAGTAAAGGAAAAATGAGAGGGCTTACTCTGGGTATTGACATCCAGCTACAGGCCTGTTGGATGGGAGGAAGCAAAATCAGCATTTGTAAGTGAGAAATGAGCGAGAAGCTTACACAAACGCGGGGGTATTGTCGGAGGGATTGTTCCATCCAGTGCCGACGGTGGCCTTTGGAGCAGCAGTGAAAGTGGGGACAGCCAATGTTTTTAGAGTCCCCGTAGCCGTGTATGTGGGCAAGAGGGACATCTGGGTGGCAGAGAATGAAGGTGAAAGTGTGGGTGGTGGGAAGGGATATGACGAGGATTGAGCAGGGTCAACTGTACCAGCGCCAGCCTAACAAAGACAATAAGTGGGTGCTGAGCGAGGAAGAGGAGAAATGTTTACTCCTCCCGTTGCAGTCGAAGGGAAGTTCCCATTGAATGGCTGGGATGTCGTAAGAACGCTGCCGCACTGGCCAATGGCTTGCCGTGGATCTTTGAAGTAGGTAAGTTGCGAGGTTCACCTACGAGACGCGATCAAGACGAAACCTTTTGGTACCCATCCTTGCTGCAAGCCAAGTTGATAGTGCCACATGGGACTTGAGGATGTTCCCAGAACTGACGAATTCCCGATCTTCCAGGTCCAGAAAAAGTAGTTCTGCAAAGCATCCATGGAAGCCAATGTTACCTCCAAGAGGCCTGAGACAACGGTGGGGGTATAGTTCTGAACATTGGCAAAGTCAGAACGATCCACCATTAGGAAGTATTACTGCGCTTACTGCCCAGTCATCCCAGACAGCGCACGATGAATCTTCACCGGATCCAATTCCATTCAGCCTGTCAGAATCGCTTTATCAGTAAACCAAAAATATATATCCATTCGAACAAACGCACCATAAACCGCAGGCGTTGATCGCTGTTGAGAATTCACCGCCAATTGTTACCCCAAACACCTGCTCGGATTGATTAGTTGCGATAGCCCAGGCACTAGACGTGAATAAGTTAATGAATATTTCTAATATTGAATGAGCAAACCATGGTTTAGGCGCGCTGCTAGCAGGACTACAGAGAAATTAAGCAATGCTCGTCGGAGAAAGTTTGAACGACTTACGTCGAGTTGGTGAGGCCCATGAAAGCCAGATACTATAAAAATTAGCGTTTGCTCCTTAACATGACTTTTGAAGACTCACTGGGTGTTGGTCCAAAACTACACGATCCGATCCCGCAAGGAAACTGCCAACACGTTCAGCTATTGCAACTATCACGAAATATATAAATCTACCCCGCCCAAATACCAGGCTGTAAAAAATGTGTTAGTTGAAAACGATTTCAGTATGTTGGGAGGGAAACTTACCCCTTGGAAGCCTTCATGAATCGCAATGTACGGTCCATTGCCGGCCCCAGTTCCACTAACAAGTGCATTACTACGTTATCACACACGATCACCAGGTAGCAGACGTACGTAGATTTTCGAATAGTATCGTGCGCTTTGACGTAGAGGCTCTTGATAGATTCTTCACCAATTGTACTCCAAAGAATTTCGTTCACGATACTCAGGCTATGCAGGAAAGGAGGTTAGATACTTGCATGCAACAAAGAAAAAACAAAATCACATGAGGACCACGTCTTTATACTCTGGCTGACTGACGAATTCCGCGAGGATGCGATAGTATGTCAGGGCTCGTTCAGCGTTGGCGATGCCCATAACTCCGTTCATGCTTGAGATAGATGAATGAATGCCCCTCATAGATGAAACGAGAAGCCTACTCACAAATTAACGGAACCGCCTGATGAGCAACATTCCAGTTAGCTACGTAAAGCAATTGAAAGTAAAGATCGTACTTTTTCCAGAGTGATTCTGTATAATTTGTCAAATCCGATGTAAAGCGTGATAGTAAGAAAGATTGCGTACCCATCCATTTTGACTTCCAGGCAATGCATGCAAATCGAGATTGATGCGGATGCCATATTTCCTTGCCCATTGGATGCTGTGAAAATATGAATGTCGACATCTTCAATATAACATCTGGATATTACGCTTTGAGGAAGTAAGTCCATGAGGTTCCCACCAGAAAAGGTTCGCCGTTGATAGCCTCAATAGCCCAGAAACCAATCGGAATTCTGACCCAGTTCAGGCCGGCAGCTTTTAATAAAGGTGAGTTGGATGATCGCAACCAGCTGACGCATTCGTACCAGCAATGTTGGCAAAATCTTGCTCAGTCTAAAGGTAGGCTATGATCAGCACAAGAATAATTACAGTCGATTGAACATACGATGAAAGTCTTGTAATGATTTTCCATTTCAGTTGCAAGGTTGGAGCCCATCGCTTGTGATAGTGTCCACTCGTCTACAACGGTGATACCAGCTGAGTTGTTGATATATTTTTCATATAAAGCCGGCACGATGAAAGGTTCCGTCACTAGATCATAATTGTCATCAGGACCAGACCAGTTCTGGTATTAGAAATAGTCCGACCTAGCCATCCTCTGCGGAACAACTCAGTGTCATCATCAAGATGCCAGGGTAAATCAACATACCCGAGATTTACTCCTCGAACGTAGTCCGAACCCCACACCCAATCTTCTGAACCGACCCGTTTGCTCCAACTCTGCGATTTACCTCCAGCGGCGAATGGATTCTTGGGGTCGTATGCCCACTCGCCACCAAAGTTATTTACATAGGTGAATTTGGTTCCATCCTCCATTGTGATGATACTTCCCGATTTCCCCGACGTCGACGAACTGCTACTACCACCACTGCTACCACCCGAGGAAGATGACCCCGATCCGGAAGAGGAAGAACTTGAATGCTTCTTTCCAAGGGTCAAAGCAAGAACAACTGCGGCAGCAGCAGCAATAATAGTTATGACGACAAAGCCGATGATAATGAGCCTTTTTCGGCGCGTTTTCCGCTTCAGAGCAGCCTGTGTGGAGTAGCGGGTGGTTGAAGTAGGTGCTTTCGCAAGAACGTTAACAGTGGAGTCATCTCGGTAATGCTGGGTAGGTGTCAGCAACTTTTAGCCACGAGCTAAAAAAAACCCTTTCTCGAACCGTGTCAAGTCTTTCGTTATCAGGGTTATATGGATTGAATTCAGAGTCTTGCGCAGCACTGTAAGGTCGTAAAGTAGGGGTTCCTGAGGGCGTTAATTCGTGTTCGTCTGCCGTAGCGACGTGCTGGTAACCGCCAGCTAGCGAAGAGGACATGGTGGACAAAGGAAAGGTACGCAGAACGGCGTGGTAAGACCGCCGGTACTGTCCAGACGCAGTGCCATGATGAAGTTTATATACTTAGATCACTATTCGTCACATCAAAAATAGCACTCTATGTAACAAATTTCAGGCCTCTTGAGACCGTCCAAACATTGAGAATCTACCACCAACGATTTACCCGATAACTGTGCTAGTAAAGGCTGTACATACGCACTACAGTATTCACCGTTGATTCTCTGAACCGTCGACGTTTGAAGGCGTTACATAACCGCAAATCACCCTTTTGGAACGCGCCCATTGTAACACTAATGGCACATTACATGTCCATATGTAGTACTTGAACACCTTCATTGTGGTTACAATGGCAAGTTTTAAACCGTTGAATTCTCGTTGCGTCGATCCCTTTTCAGCGACAAGTGGGTCCCAATTATTGAAGTCGATACGAATCAAGCTGCCTGGAAGCATTTCATGGCCTTGGCGTTCTTATTGGGCACGCCTCTGACGTCGGTTGCAATGAGAGGTAACTTCACGAATTTCGCCCCCGATGGCGAAGGTGCGTTGTTCGCCTTATCGCCATCGCTTGTACATTCTGCTGTAAGTATACTTATAAATAACCACGACCCCGGGCCATCTTATCACTTTAGGGGGCTTCTTCCACACTCATCGGCATTCCGCCGACTCACACTCGTTTAGCAATTTTTTGTCTCTGTCCCTACAGATCCCTAGCGTTCCCCCGGCATGGATATTATTCTCAACCATACAAGAGAACTTCTGTCGTCGAAAAGGTGCGTTATCTCAATTCCTACTTGCTACTAGCTGTTGAAAGCGAATCCAAACTCAAAGGACTGCTGCGCCCCTTCCCAGAGACGCTGGTCAGTGTGAACCGGCAGACCCAGCCAACACGGTGACGACCCGCTTGCAAAATCTTTTGCAAAACGGAGGGAACGGCTATGTTCTCAGCCTGTGTCCAAACCAGCAATATCTCATACAACAGCCCATCCTGTTCACGCAACCTAACCAAGAGATCAACACCTTGGGTTACCCGACAGACAATTCAAGAGCTACCCTTGTCGTTAACGGTCCAGTCTCCAATGGCCAGGGCCATACAACTGCTGTTGATGGTACTTGCTCGTCTTGTTCGGGTGTTAAACTTCGAAATGTACAAGTACGTCTTCTTCTAGGGAGTGAGGACGCGTTCAACCGTGAATAAATGCTTCAAATAGATTGATGGAACGCGTCGTGGTGCTTCTCCAACTACTGGTGGGGCAAACATGGAGATGGGAGGGGGAAATTCAGGCCAATTGATCGAATATGTTCACTCTTTTGACCCCCGGAGTTGGAGCTGCCTTCATGTCGCCGAAGGACCCTTCACATGCAACAACATCACTGTTCAAAACAACGACATTGGGCCATGCGGCTCGGATTCATTCCAGGAATGGGCGGATGGCATCAGTGTCAGTTGCCGCAACGCCGTCGTGAGAAACAACTTGGTGCAGGGTGCAACAGATGGCGGAATCGTAGTGTTTGGGTCTCCTGGAACGCAGGTGTACAACAACACAATATGGGTTTTGAACGTCGGTGTCGTCGAGTCTATCTTTTTGTCGTCGTGCTGATCTTGATCCTAGCAAACCCTACTTGGTGGTATCAACATGGTTGATTATGATCCATGGAGTGGTGATTATACTGGCACTGTTGTTCGGAATAACACCATCTATGGCGGGTTCGCCAATGATGGTGAACAACCTGGAGACAGCAGGGGGAGCAATTTTGAAAATGCTATCATCAAGTAGGTTGCCTTTCCTTCCTCTTCAATATGACTCAACTTAAATAGGATTGGTATTGCCATCGGGCCTCGTACATGGTTCGGAGACCGCTACGGAAACGATGTCAGCAAAAATGGAATGGTCTTGGACAACAGACTGACTGGAGCGCTTAGCTATGGCATCGCCATCACGTCGGCTTCGAATTTCACGATTCAAAACAATGTCATGTTCGGAAATACTTCGTTCATCGGAGCGCGTGGACCAAACTGCAGCGCCTCGGACATTGTCCCTACGCCAGCAGCATTCATCATGGACACTCGCACGACAAGCAATCTCGCAATCCAGTCCGATTTTCAGACAATTCCAGATGGCAATTCCCTTACCTGTGTCTTACCTCCAAATGGGGGCGACTATTGGCCATTCGGTCTCAACCCATCGAACACCAGTACAACAGCTACGTCAGCCGGACCTACCTCCACGACTGGTAAAGGAAGCCCAACATCGAAATCACACAATACCGGAGCTGCCATCGCTGTCGGCGTCATAGTCGGCATCATAGCCTGCGCCATTGTTTCATTCTTTATCCGGAAATGGGCTATCAAGCGATCAGAGGCTCAGTTACATCCCAGCTCGACGAGAGATTATATACACAAACTACCCTGATGCCGGACTATCATACCATCGGTCATTCTCCTCTTGCATCTTCCTCTTCATTCTGCCAACGCACATTGTAAGACGCATCCTCTTTTACATAGAACTCGCAGATCATCACGGACCTCCTTGGACACTCGGACATGTTGTAGCTACTCGCTCACATTTACAGGACATTCTTACTTGTAGCTTTCTTGTTGTTTGTGTTGAACTCTTGTACGCAGCTACGTATCTAGAATCCAAGTTATTGCTGTTCCAAGGGGGAAAGCACTCAAAAACTGCACAGTACCTCGTCATGTGACAAGTTGGGTTCGGCGTTCACTTGACCTTTGCTTGTTGTCTACATACACCATATCTTGTTCAGTTCCTCCTTCTCATTTATCCTCCACATTTACCCGCTGACCATCAAAATTCTTCCCCTGCGGTACTCATCTTCCATAGCCATGACTGCTGAGAAGGAGTCTGTTGCGTTTCCTATCCAAGAATCAGTCATCGAGGCTTACCCTTTTCCTAGCTATTTGGGCGTTACGCCGCCAATTTCAACCATGGAATCAAATGAGCGCGAGAAGGAGGTTACTATGACTCTCATGGAAGAGCTGAGGAGACAAAATACATTCGAGACGGAGGAGGAGGCAAGGACGAGGTAAGCCGTCTAATCTGTTTGTTGATTGGAGTGCACCGAGGGCCCGCCATTATCAAAATCTCTACAAATTCCTCAAACAAGGCCTCCCGCCGATACGAAAAAGTAACGCTTTTATTATGTCTCAAGGAACACTCGAAAGGGACAGCGCACTCCATCAAAGACTCTTCTCTACTTACGCATCTCTCACTAATTTGACGGTTCTTAGAGAAATTGTGCTCGGGCGTGTTGCTGCCCTTGTGAAAAAATTTGTTCGCCAAGTGTCCATTGCCAAGGGGTTATCAGAACAAGCCGCCAATCTAGCGGGGGGGAAGATCTTCACTTTCGGATCATATCGATTGGGCGTGCATGGGCCTGGGTCTGACATCGATACCCTCTGTGTGGTACCAAAGCATGTTTCTCGGGAAGATTTCTTCGAAGTTTTTGAGCCCATGCTGAAGGACCTCGAAGGTGTTACAGAAGTGTCGGTGCGTGCAAATGTTTATATAATTTGTTACATACACGAACGATGATTGTAGGGAGTACCTGAGGCATATGTTCCCATCGTTAAGACAAAGATATCTGGCATACCTTTGGACTTCCTTATGGCTCGCCTAGCTTTGTCTTCCATACCTGATGACCTTTCTCTACAAGACGACAACCTTTTACGAAATCTAGATGAGCGTTGTGTCAGAAGTCTAGGAGGTACGTTTTGTTTGCATGCCGCGGCTTCAAGCAAGTGCTTATCTAGCGACAGGATCGAGAGTAATTGATGAAATTTTACGCCTCGTACCCAATGTCCAAGTTTTCCGGGATGCCTTACGATGCATCAAGTTGTGGGCACAACGTGTGTCACCTTACATTGATGTCCTTACCTTGCACTCAATCTCTTTGTTATCAAGGGCGGGCTATTTATTCTAACGTCAATGGCTTTTTGGGCGGTGTTGCTTGGGCCCTCCTTGTTGCTCGCATATGTCAGCTCTACCCTAATGCCATCGCCGGAGCGATCGTTAGCCGATTCTTTATAATTATGTATCAATGGTAAGCAATGGGCTTCTTTCAGCCGTTTGCGAAGTGAATTGGGCATCGTGTTGTAGGTCATGGCCACAGCCCGTTTTATTAAAGCAAATAGAAGATGGCCCCTTACAAGTTCGAGTATGGAATCCCAAGGCAAGTATATATCTATTTTTTCGCAGAGTTTCTCTTAACTGTTATACCATGTAGCTGTATCCCGCTGACCGATCACATCGAATGCCTATCATCACACCTGCTTATCCTGCGATGTGCTCAACTCACAATGTCACTGCTTCAACTCAAATAATCATGACAGAAGAGTTCAAGAGAGGTACATTCATGACTTCTGGCGACATCCTCAGCTCTGATTTTGGGCAGGTGCCGATATCGTCGACAAGGTAATCGTCGGAAGCGCGACCTGGTCGGAACTATTTGCGAAGCACGACTTTTTTCACAAGTATCGATACTACCTCCAAGTCATCGCTTCAACAGGGAATGCTGACCTCCAAATAAAATGGTATGTTGTGTGAATTTTTCATTCATTCGCTGGCTTACTGCTATTTGGAAGGTCGGGTACAGTAGAATCTCGAATTCGACAGCTCGTTATGAAACTTGAGTATGTCGACTCGCTGATACTTGCCCACCCTTTCATCAGGGGCTTTGAACAAGTCTCCTACTGTCTGTCAGAGGACGAGGTGCGTGCGGTGGCTGAGGGAGAAATATCCGACTCGGTTGCTGGCCGGAAGAAAGAAGACATCGAAGGTAAAGAAGGTGCTGGTCCTGTCTATTCGACGACGTTTTATATCGGCCTTGCAATTGAGCCGAAGCCCAGTAAACCATTTCTATTCAAACGACGCTTTTCTCATTCTGATCAATCATCTCCTGCTAGCTGGTGCTACTGGTCCTCGACGGCTCGATATATCTTATCCCACGACAGACTTTACAAAACTTGTTAAAATGTGGGAGAAATACGATGAAGCAACCATGGGCATTGTTGTCCGACATATCAAGAGGTTTGGAAACCTGCATTTTCTTGGACACTTGCTGATTTCTAGTCATAGCTCGGGGTTGCCGGACAATGTCTTCGAGCCTGGCGAGCGTCCTCCCAAGCTTGTACAAAAGCGCGTCAAGGTGGGCACATTGATAGGTAGTAACTGGTTTGGACAGGCTATTGAATTTCGTGATCGCAAGGGTTCGAGCAAATCCAGTAATACGTCCCCCGACATGCCGAATAAGCGACAACGGTTGGTCAATGCGGCTGTATCAAATCTCACAACTCGTTGATACACTGTGCTTCTACGGCAACTCTTCCAGATCTTCTCAGTCGGCATCTGATCTACCGCTCAAGGTGACCGAAAATGGTGCAAGCAACCCACCATCAAGCCTTACACCTGTGGCTGAAAACTACGCTAAGGACCGATCGGAAATTAGGACACCTCATTTACCGTTTGGGGAAAACGTCGCCGTTGCAACTAGTGCAGTCGCCGCCCAATGAAGAACGTCAAGTAGAATGCGAACCGCATCGGCTTCCTGCCTTCCGCACCATCAAATATAAAATCCACGCAAAACAAGCATTATTCCCTGGCGATTTCTTGAAAAAGCCCTTTCAATTGCCTTGCCGGGTCATTTGGTTTATTTATCTCGTTTCGTTTTTAACAGGAACATCGGTTCACAGGCTGACTCTTTTGGGATCGAAAAACGCCTTTGACGAGCCTCCCCATCCATCAGGTTAGATAGGTTTTTCTTTCTGGCCCTTTTCTCCTCCCTCTTTCTCTCGACAACGAGGGTTTAATAGCAAACGATACATCCATTGATCATTACATGCTCCTTGTATCCTTCTCGTTCTCGTATATCCCGAGACACTAAAAGTGTATATTACATACGTATCCTATGAAAACCCTTCTTTTTTTACGAGCAGAGCTGCGAGCTTGATAGTCAGTCACATGGGGTCATGTGGTCCTTGCCATTGAGGAGCTGCAATGGCCATCCCATTGTTTCCAACTCTTACTGTAATACACTCTTCAAGCCACACTCAAGATATCAACATGTCTCGAACATTACGTTCAACTTCGTCCGCTCAAACTTCGCCATCCTCAAAGTCGAGCAACTTTACCGAATCCACCACCTACACCCCCTCCGTGACCCCACGCAAAGCTCCCCATTGCACAAAATGCAAGCGTCCACGCGCTGGCCACCCACGTTCGGGTTGTCCATACGTTGACTCGCCCAAAGCCGATCAGCCATCCAACTCAGTCGCGTCGGATGTCGGTATTGGACTTACCGACGCCCTCGGATCCATGCAGATCGCGTCGGCCCCTGTTGCATTAGTACGTGAACGCGAGGAAGAAACAAAAGCTACCATCCGGAACCGCCGTCGACTTTCCGCCCAACCCCAACTTCCTACGAGCGATAGCCTCCTGTCGCTCTCCACCAACTCTAGCGAGATAGTTGCGCGTCTTTTGCAGCCTGGGATGTTTGATGATACTACAGACGAGGAAAACGCGTCTGGCAGGAAGGCGGTTGATAAGAAGATTGTGCGTTGGCAGGAGACACTTGCTATACCAACCACTCCCAGAGCAGAGCCTGCTTTGAAGAACAACAAGGGAAAGGGCAGGTACTCTACGCGATCTCCCATGCCCTGCACGCTTGACACGCCCGAGACGAGCTTTGCCTCTTCCACGAACTCTGTTTCGAAACAGGGAATTGCGGCTATTCCTCAGGTTGAGTCGCCTGTAGAGGAGGAGGAGGAGCCTGAAGCTACCCCTGACGAATCCGCTGGACCTTCCACCGTTACCCCCACACAAGGCCAAGCCACTCCTCCCCGCCGTGCTCAGCCCCTCGGCCGTTCTATGAGCCTCGAAGAACGCGAAATGTTCATCTCAAAGCTGACAGTCAAATCCCCAGCAACAATCTACATCCTCCCAAAGGCCGACATACCCACCGTCACCGCGTCCGCCACCGCCCTTGGCTTCCATGCATGTGCGGTTTTAAGCGACGATGCAGAAGACCCGGAGGCGCTGCTTATCCTGGGTCAGGATTTGGGTGCTGTGAAGAAGCTTTTTGGGAAAGTGGAGGAGGAAAACAGGAAGCATTCAGAGCAGCGGAAAGGAAAGCCGAGGTCGAGCTTGGGTTTGAAGGCTGTTGCTGGAGGTGCTGTTGTTGGTGCTGTGGGTGCTTGGGCAGGGTTGGCGTTTGCCTGACCAACGACGACGATATCGACCTGGTCTCCTCAGCTTTGCCTCAAGTAATGAACGATCAGACGACCACCTGCACCCTTATTTTTCTTTCCCTCTCTCGCTTCTGAACTATCTGCCGTATACACGAACACGAACACTCCTCTCATTGGATTTGTACGATCAACATGACGCAACGACGGTCTCTATTTGTATTTGCTACCCATCCATCATGAACCCAGACTTGTATCGCTACAAACCCCTATCCGTTTGGTATTTTTGTATCCAGGTCTTACTGTTATTCATGTTATCGTCATTGCAATATGATTATTTTTCAGAGTCCCATTTTATTTTGTGTAGATATCCCTGCACATGCAGTAATGACAATCAGAGCTTGGAACTTGAAGCTTGAAGTGTTACAAATTTTTTGAAGAACACCACCATCTCGGACCCTTACTCGAATGGCACCCGTTTAGAAGACACTATTTACATTGAACTGTAGATGTTGTACAAGATAGGCGTAGCGACAAAACGAACTTCGACAGCGATCAAGAAAGCAAACCAGTCACAAGTACATTTCAGATCTGAGCAAGAAGATTACTGGATGGTCAACAAGTCAGTTAAATCAATCATGTCTGTCTCTAGTTAGGTAGACGAACCATGAAATACATCAACCCCGACTGCTTGGGATTCAGCGGAACGAAAGCTTGCTTGAATGCCTGCAGGTCAGAGGTTGCCTCCGTATGGGTCGCCGAGTCGGAGAGGTGTAGATTGCCAGCAGGGTTGTAGTGATTCTTAGCGCGAGAACAAACGATATCAGCATCTATGTTGGAGATGAGTTAGTCAAGAGCTTGTTTATAGTCATAAGAGGAGAGCTGACAATAAACCGGGGCGGGAATGGAGACGGAGCGGGTTGCCCGTGCGTAGACGTGAGTGAGTGCAAACGACATTGCCTGCATAGCATCGGCACTACATGATAAACAAGTTAGCATTCTTTCAAGACCATTCAGTAATCGTCAACGTACCTCAGATTATTTTCCTGTGACGATGGCTATCAGATTGGGCCAGATCAAGGAGAACAAAACTCACATCGTAAATGACCTTCGTTGGAAAATAGTAAGAATATTGTTGAAAGCAACAAAGTTAAAACTTACGGAGTAGTGCGCAGGTCGGCTCGTACCAAGGAGGCCACCATGGCTCTGCTGGTAGTAGTCAAACTCGGTCGGATGTCCAAGACCTGCGTCGATGGTTGTTCCCGCCGGGCAGTTGCCACTTCGGTCGGCGTCCCCAGGGTTAACGGGGCACATCCTAGGGGGTAAAATCAGGTCTTCGTTACATAAAATTTGAGCATTTGACAAACCGAATATGGTGCCTCTTCCCGACAACGACAAGTGTGATCTTCGGCGCGATTTTAAATGCTGCACAGGCTCCTGTGGCTGCCATCAATATTGGCGGGCCGCATGGCTACCAGTGATACCCACCTTTGATCCTAGGCAATTCTGTTCGTCGTTCAGAAAAGATAAATGTGCTTATGCAGGACGGCTCACCAAGATCGAGAACTTGCTGGAATTGCCCTTCCGATACCCCATCTGGAGCGACGTTAGCACACATTTGGCATCTCGAATTGGCAATACCTCGGTAGAAGAAAAGACGAGCGGGCTTCTGGGTGTTTTTCTCAACGGCTGCCCGATAGGCCTGCCATTTTGTTAAACCCTCCTGTTAAAATCCAATATATTTGACAGTTTTTAAAGGACTGGGTCGCGCAACCAACCTTGCACATGTCTTCTAGATCGTCGATCATCTCTTGACGTCCCGTTTGAACTCGGCTCATTGCAACATATTTGGAGACGGTCGTATCTACACTTGCAACCAGTGCAGTGAAAGATGGTCTGCCTTCAGTACCTGGTGCGGGGTGAATGACATCGGCTCCTGGGATTTAAGTCAGTTCAACATCGAATCTGGCCGGTCAAGTTTACCCATGATGATAGTCGGATGGGCTGGGTCGGTAAGGGAAGGCAGGTCAGGAACGGAGTTGATGCCATCGAGCTTCACATTAACTCTGGTGTGATTGTCAGATGTTGCGCTGCCAACCCAAAGGACTTTCCTTACTTGAGCATGACGTTTGCCCAGTATTGGGCATTGGCTCGGTAGCATTTCTTCGCCAACAAGCATTGAGTCGCAACACCCATCTACAAGCTGTCAGTCCCGAGTCGACGGAGGAACCTTCTGGCTAACCGTCACATCACCGAAGCTGCGATATCGAGTTAGATCTAAGCAATCGTTGTAAAACAAAGACTTACTGTTTAACTGCAGTGTATATGTCATCTCCTCCATCCGGGAGAATGACTACGATAAGATTGGGACCTTCGCCCTTCTGCTGAACACATGTTTGACCCGCTTTTTTTAGTTGCTGAAAACAAGAAGAATTCAGGTAAGAACAAAAGAAATGGTCGGGGGATTTACATCACCGATCCTTCCCTGACCATTCTCCCAGGTGATAACAGGTTGGTCATCCTGAACAGTCATTCCTGTATAAACATATCAACGAATGTCCTAGAAGGAGGAACCCACAACACGTACCAACAGCCCGAGCACCAGCAACAAAGCTGGTGGCCATCTGCTGTGCGACATCCTGGGTGAAACGGCGTTGTCCTTCATAAACGACGATAACCCATTTCTTTATAACGGAGGGCCTGAAGAACTTTTTGTCGGCCCTACCGAAATTATACTTTATCAGGACAAATGTAGATTTTATTATAGAAAAAAAGCACTCACATGTTCCATGATCCATTGGCAGGTCTCTAGAAGCGAGGAATCAATACACAAGCCATACAGACTCGAGATAATCCATACAACAGTTGCCCTTTTACTTCCCTGCCCATACTTGAGGGTGGGCGGGTCAAGAACCCTGGCCGTCAACTCGATCATTTTGTCGTTCACGTTCATTCCAAATTGTCGAACATATTCGCTTTGACCGTAAGAAAGTACCTGGTAAGTGATGAGAACAAATGTCTAAATTAGGGTAAAAAGTCTGATTCCTCACTTGGAGACCTTTCTTAATGCTTTCAAAACGATCGATAGGCTTCATCGTGGAAAACTCTACCACGTCCTTGGTCAGGTGTGGTGGAACCTGCTTGCGCATGATCTGGCCTGGTGGAACATCGCATAGCTCCAAGGGAAGCAGGGCTCCCGATCCAACCTAGAAAAATGGGTTAGTGGCCTATTCACATACAAGTGAATTCACCCGACCTCAACACATAATAAATCAGGAAACTTCAACGTCTTGCGGGCGTGAACCCGGAAGTAGTCGGCCACAGAGATCTCACCACTTTCCCGCATCGTAAATTTCTGCCCACTGGCACCAGCAGAGCTCAGCTTTCGGACGACGCGGGTCTGCGCACGCCCAGAAGGACCGTGGGACGTGGTGATACGGATATTTGATATGAAACGCTGCAGGCGAAGTCGCTCGCGGTCGGGAAGCCCACGTTTAGGGGAAAGGATATTTGGATCATTCTTCCCAAAGAAATCCAAGCAGAGGCCAATCAGCGGCCCCGGCTTGTACATAAGTCCTGTTGAGATATCAAGGTTGATGATCATTTTACCCATGGAGGGACGGATTGACTGAAAATATCCCCGCCATAACTCAATTCCTCCCCTAAGGGGTCGTTTACCGTCCTCAGTAAAGAATGACCTCGTGTTGAACGGATACTTCTGATTGGGAGCCATTCTGATTGCAACATTCAAGGCCTTGTTGCCCGGGTTCAGTTCAAGGATATACGTGAAACACGTGGCATACCATGAGAGCTGTCGACACATTATTATCCTGAGATTGTTCACCTTGGATGAACCTCTGCAAGATTCTAAGGAAAGTTTCGTTAAAAGAGATAAATAAACGAGGTCAAGGTACTCGCTCTGGATTGATTACTGCGACCTTTGTTACCTTGATTTGATAAACTTTGGGAGGCCGACCTCCGGCGGAGGCACTCGCGAACACACTAACATCGAACTGGTAGCGTGAGCATTATTTGAGAACAGAAAGATGCTTCAGTCATACTTGGGAAGATCCATTGGGACCGAGAGGAAGTTCGCGTGAGGCGTACATGTTCTTCCGACCATCATAAGGCACGGGTGGGGTGAAGACATTTCTAGCAACCTCGGCTTGAAGTTGCTTGATCAAGAGCATGTTCATGCGCACAGGAAGTGTTGAAGGGATGATGTCTACGAGTTCTTAGAGAACGTAGTTGGTCAGGAATTTTTAAGAGCAACATACCAACTACAAATGTTACTTGAACAAGACCAGACAAAAGCACTTGTATAATCAACGCTCACCATCATAATGATAAATGAAGCCCTCTTGGACAGTGGTCTCGAATGCATTTACTCGCACTGCGATCTTTCTGCCGGCCGTCCCGGTTCCAGAACGTTTGACGCCCACGGTGCTTACAGACGCTTTAAATTATGAAAAACAATTTGTGATTGAAGGTATCGATGACAAGACTATATATTAGAACTCACCCGCAATGCTTGGACTGTCAACGCGTGTGCTCTCACGAGCCGCACCACCACCGCGGCCTCGTCCACGAGGTCCTCCTCGTGGACCTGTGCCGCGACCTGGAGCGGATCGAGGGGGCATACTTTGACTAGTAGCAGTGCTTGATAGTGAAAAGTAGAGAGACTAGCCCTTGGAGGGGGGAAGCAAGTTGCGAAGTCGCACACAGATGGTATATATACATCGTTCGGAAAGATCCGCGCAGAAAACGCGGCTTTGGTCTGGCAGCTCGATTTGCACTGTCTGGCAATCGATTACGTCCATATCAGCACAGTAATTACGTTTGAGTACACAGGCAGCAGGCTAACTCAGGGCACCCTCAATCTTGTGAATGGCGTTTGGTAGCAGAAATATTGCCCTTCTCATGATTTGTCGCCACCACCCAAAATTAGCTCCTCCACAAGAGCCTTCACACCCTTCGCATCAGCACGACCTCTGCTCTCTCGCATCACTCGTCCAACAATTTTATTCATGACGTTTTTGTTCCCCGCACGTACAGCTGCAACCTCATTCGGAAGCGCAGTGATCGCAGCTTGGCAAAGAGTAGTCAGTTCCTGATCAGTTGTTGAAGTGGGGTTTGAATGGCCAGAGGAAGAAAACGAGGAGAGAGAGGTTAGTCGGAGTTGCTGCGTGATTTGCGCGGGCCGGAGGGAGGAGGGTTTCGCGAGCATGTGGCGGAGGAGGTATTTACCAGAGGTTCCTATTTCAGAGCGAATAAATAGTTGGAGACCGTAACGGATAATGTAGCAAGGAGAGAGGATAAATGAAGTGGTTAGAAGGGACGCCATTGTAAGTTGCAATCGCTAGCGAGTAGTAGGGAAAGTACAAACCTGTGATTGTCCCATTCTGTACCAAGTCGATTAACTCGCCCAGATGGTCTGACGTCAAGGAGTTATCCGTGAACGTCTCTTTGCGCGCCGAAAGCTGACCGAGGAGCTCGTGTGTCATCCTATATGCAAGGGAGTTAGAATAGTTGCCACTGCATTAAAATTTACGCCCAGACTAAGAAGAGCTAGCTGGTATGGGGATCGCTCACCAGTTCACGGTAACTTTGGGATCACGGATTATCTTTGTATTCCCACTAACTTGGTTTCCTTTCGGGCCCGTACATAGACGATCAAAGTACGCCACAGCTCCTGAGCCATCGACGTCTTTTTCGCCATCAAATGTAACCTCTCGGCCACTATCCACACTGAGGAGTACGTCGATGTCACGTTCAGAGAGAGCATACATCTCTCGGAGGCGATGGCGCGTTTCCCATGGGAGCTCTGGTAGCGAGTCGCGGATAGCTTGGACCCGATCCTGAGTGAATGTGAACGGGTCAATAAACTTGCTAATTTTTCGGAGGAAAATAATACTAAACTCACCTGGCTTAGAACAAGAACACCTAGGTTAGGATCAGGCATGTAACGGTAGTCTGGCGCATCTTCTTTTGACCGGAGCCGGTACGTCTCGAAGGTGTTCTCATCGAAGCCACGCGTTTCTTGGGGGACAGTACAAGTTTCTAGGTCACTCGCGGATTCAAGGATAGCGCGCTGCCGAATGATTTCGTGTGCTGGTTATGTTAGAGGATTTGTAAACATTAGAGAACAGAGGCAGAACACACTTATTGCAGCCATCATAAATTTGACACTGTTGAGATTCTTGATCTCACAGCGTGTGCCGGGTGGGCGGCCGACACGGTTGACGGAGACGTTCACGTCGCATCTGAGCGATCCCTGCCATTGCTTACTTTGGATTTCGCTAGAGACAAACAGAACTGGGAACTGACCTGCTCCATGTTCCCATCACTAGCACCTATAGCGCGCAAAACGGCCTGAAGTGTGCGTACAAACATCCCTGCTTCCTCCGGTGAACTGTAACAGGAAAGAATATGAGGAAAGAAAATAAAATGACGGATAAGACAGACCGTAGATCAGGCTCCGAAACTATCTCCATGAGGCCCGCTCCGGCTCTGTTCAGATCAATATTAGATATTCGTTTGCGAGGGTTGAGCGTAGACTTGGCTGTGTCCTGTATGTTATTGTCGACAAATGGATTCATTGAGAAAACATTGAACGAACCTGCTCAAGCTGAATCTGCTTGATGCGCACAGGAACAGCTGACGAATTTGGCATCTGGATGTTGAGCTGCCCTCTCAGTGCAATTGGAGCTACACGCTATGTGAGAAGCAATCTCTGTGAAAAGCAGGATTGGACTCACCATACTGTTGCGTAATTTGGTAGCCTGAAGGCAAATCAGAGTAAAAGTAGTGCTTCCTGTCAAACGACGATCGATGTTGTATATCACTTTTGAGAGCAAGAGCCGTCCGTATGGCTAGGTCGACACATTTTGAATTGAGTTTCTGACTTGCTAAGTTTTCCGGCACGAGTTGGGCGGAAAATGAACTTACAGGAAGCGTCCCAGGAAACGCGGCGTCAAATGGTGAGACGTGCTTGTTTGGTGGTTCGTCAGGCTCAGGTATGAGGGTATCTAAGGATTTTCTCGTCAGAACAAACTGAAACGGACGTTAGTGCCAGTGATCTTACCCGAGAAGAGCTTGCGGCGCGATTTGATTTGAGCGTGTGTTTCAATGCCAACGACGACTTGCCAGCCTGGCCATCGTTTGTCCTCTTTGTAAACGCGCGCGTCGTGGAAGCGGCGACATAGTGTCGGCGTCGAGAGGTGGCAGTGACGGAGGCGGCAGAGGACGGTCATGACATAATTATCTGACCACATGATCCACGTTGTCCACTCTTGCCATCCCCGATTCCCTCTAACCACGTCGTGAGCTCGGGCTGTGATGATATCTTTCCTTTCTTTTCCTCATTCTCTCATTTCTCTCGTTTGCTTCCTTATTCTTCCATCACACGTCGTTGCAGACCCCGCCACGGTTCCTTTCCAAAACTGTTTTGATCCAGGGTCCAACATCTCTCACTGGAGGTTCAATGTGAGCACAATCTACGCCCAGGTACTCCAGGACGAAGTATGGGGGCACTATCTCAATTTGACTGTTCTTGGAGAGAGCCCGGAGGTTATACTTGGCCTAACGAACTCAAGTTCTAGTCTTGGTGAGTGATTCAGCTGTAAGAGACAACATCGTCTCACCGATCTTTTCTCCAGCAACTCTTTTCACAACTACATCAGTCCTCACGCTAAGCGCATGGTCAAACAGCTCGTACCTATGCCAAAATCTACGACCACCGTCGCCACTGCCTGCCATGGACTCAAACGCAAACACTTTCTGTCCAATACCAGCGGGTCCTTTTGCCATGTCTTCAACCATCCCATGGGGTGCGAATCGAGAGTTGACAACATTGAATACTCGTCTGAGAGCGGTGGATCCTTTTGGTCAAGAGCTCGTGTGCCTTGACGTCTTCACCACTCCACTTGACCCACATCCGCATTCACCTTATGGGAGAGCGAAAATTATATTATGGTCGACTGTAGCACTCGCCATCGCATATTGGCTTGTCATTGGAACCGCGAGGATTGTGTCTGCATGGAATCGTGGGATATCGAGGCCAGGACGTGGGCTGTGGGGGCGGGCACAGAGCGCCGGTTTCATTCTTGCGAGTGCCATTAGTGGAGAACGTCTAGCGACATCTCCGGCTCTCATGCGGTTCAGTACGTTGATGATTCACTGGTGCTATCGTTCTGCTCTCATCTCGCGTCCTAGGCACTCCGTGCTTGCGTGATGTTATTTTCCACACACAGTGGTGTGCAATTTTGGCAATGGTGGCCGTTCAGTGGCCGCAATTCGTTTGTGCGTGAAAAAGTCTTTGTCGACCTGCTCATCGATCCTTACGTGTTATTCAGATCCTCTCTTAACGCAAGCAGCATGGTCAACTCTGTCATACAGTAAGCTTCCGTCGGCTTTGCTGCCCCCCCCCCCTCGCTCATTGTCAAACTTAGATATTTCTTTGACGGAGAGTTCAAAACTACATCACTGGAATCCGCTTGCCACAAGCCCGTTCTCCCCTACAGCAGATTTTGCTGCCCAACTTGCAGACAGTAATTCACCACTCTACATCGACCCCACTGTCCCCAATGTGCTCTTCACTCTGCCGGAAAATGCAACGGATGGCATGTTTTCCTTCGCTTACACCCTAGGTCTCAGACCTCAAGACCTTTTTCCGACTTGCCTCATTCTCTTCCTCTCCATTATTGGGGTGACAGTGGCGTTGTCCATTCTGGTATGGTCCATCGACTTGCTTGTTAGCGTAATTCCTGGTGCTGTAATTGGTTCTGCGCATGGTTCCAACTCCTTGAGTCGGTTTGCAGGCTCCCGTAGCCCTGTCTTTGGAGCCAAAGAGAGAGCGGGAAGCCCGCCAGTCACTGCAGAAGAGAGGTCGCTTACGGCGCTCAGCGATAAGCAACTGCACAATCGTTTTGGTCTGCCTCTTTCCAGTTCATCTAGTGGTCCAGTGGAACGTGGAATCAATAGTCACCGAGCTTGGTGGAGGTTTCGCTCAGACATTGGCACCTTCCACACCAACGTTCTTCACGGGAACCTTGTTCGGATTCTCGTCCTTTTTCACCTTCCTGTGACAATTTTTTCATGCTATCAGATGACGCTCCCCCGTTCTCAAGCGTCGTTGTCGTCCATCGCTCTCGCAGCATTGTCTTTTATCTTCATCTCTATCTTGATACCTTTGCATCTCGTCGTACGTGTCACACTTACCACAACAAACAAGCTGTACGATGAAACCCGGACGCTCCTCTCGCTCGGACCACTATACAATCATTATCGCCATGGGTCGCAGTTGTTCGCGTGTTTGCTCTTTGCGACGAACATTGCTTTTGGAATCACGATTGGTGCTGGGCAGAAGAGCGGTACTGCGCAGGCAATCGTCATTCTTGTTGTGGAGGTGGTCTCTGCGCTTGTCACGAGCATTTGGCTTCCTTGGGGGAGTGGGGCCAGCATGGGACTTATCAGCTTCTTGTTCTGCGTAGCGAGAATCGTGGTCGCAGTACTTCTGGTTATCTTAGCACCAACGGTATTGCAGTTCTCTCTGTTCACAGGTCTTCACTGAGCTAGTATCGCAGATATCCATCGGACCCGGCCCAGGGGGATGGGTTGCCTATGGCATCCTCATCATCCTTGCTTTGGTATACCTGGCATTAGTGCTGATGCTGCTAGTCAAGATCATAGAGGCGATGGTGCGGATAGCCGGCGGAATTGGCTTTGACAGAAGTAAGCATGTCGTCGACAGTGGTCTCATAGGCGCATGCAGTCTTCTAGGATGTTTCGGTAGACCCAAGAAACGCCGCCGTCCGAGGGGCCAAAATACAATATACAGAGCGACAGACCTACAACAACCGACCGCCCGCCGAAATTCGGATTTGTCGTCATACAACCCACCAATACCAATGGCTTTGGGTAATGACAGTGTGACCACCGCACCCAGGTTCCTCGGCACAGAGTCGAGGAAGGGATCGTCAGGGTCACAGCCTCCATCTGTTTTGAAACCAGAGCATGTTAATAGACCATATAAGGAGGACACCGATGATGAGGGATTCATCATGGGTGCATGGAAACCCTATCCGCCCACAGGTTATATTCCCGTGACTGACGGGCCACAAACGAGCGCGCCAGAATCTATTCACTCCCCTACACTGCCTAAAGCCTCTTCATCAACGCCTACTTCAGGATTTTTTCGTGTGGGCGGCGGCAGGGCACATATGGATACGCCGTATGCCATCAACACCGGCACGGGATCGACTCAGACGTTCCCATCAATTGGGCAGCAGAGTACTACGATGCTCGTGCCTCCTGTTTTCCCTGATGATGATGATCCCACACTCCCATTGACAAGTATCCGACAACCGGAACAAGGGTTGCTGCCCCCCGGTGGTACGCAACCTGCACATATACGCACCAAGTCGCAGACGGCCATCATTGAAGATGCTGGTGGGGTGTATCCTGCAGGTGCAATTGCGTCGGGTTCCTCGCCTCTCCGATCACAACTTCAGCTACAGCAGGCAGCTGAGACTTTGCTGCGCCCTCCACCCCCATCACGGTTCACGTTGAATGTTCCAGACGACGATGACGATTCCGTGGAAGATCACCAACAAAAGAAAAAGTGGTACAACTTTCGGAAGAGCCGTCCACACAGCAGTGAAGGGCGGACTTCGATGACTGCTCCGTCTGCATCTGCATCTACTGCACAGGTGGATGAAGAACTAGGTGGTGCTGGAGACACGCCCTCTCCGCAGAGGTCTTTCGTTGTTATTCGGAAACCGCCCGGGTCAATGGGCAGGTTGAATCAGGCCATAGCAGCAGCTTCAGCGGCTTCCAATAATGCAGCTACCTCCGTTCCTCTGGCACGCCCTCCTACGCGATGATTTGTGCTGCACCTTTTCTTCTTGAACGAAATGACATTCCTACATGCAGGGACTTCATTGGACTGCTGGCAATCATTTCATTTATTTTATCTTGAATTTTCTCGATCATTGCTATCCTAGTACTTGCGGCGTCAAGACATGCTATTTTACTGTCATGGGACTCACTATATTTTAGACACGCCTATGTTTTGTGTCGATAATTGCAAGGTTTATCTATCGTTTTCTTTTCTGTACCATAGATATCGACGTTCGCGATCAAGGCTGGTTTTGGATACAAAGTTAAAGTTAATTGACTGTTTGAGTCATCCTTGAACAGTACAGTACCACCGTCCCAAGTATCTGTTATCGTGAGATTTCGAACGTTTAGTACAAGCTAATAGAGTTTTACAACAAGCGATAGATGTGTACAATCGAATATTGTCCTGGCAACTTCCCGTCCATCCGAATCAATATGGATCCTCCACTTCTTCAAGACTGAGATCCGAATGCGACCCTCCAACCCAAAACACACGCCAATCCGCAAACCCTTTTCGACACCAACCATAGACACCGGCTTGTGCTTTCAAGCCTTCCGCAATGTCTTCCGTTTCCGCGCTGGCAAACGAATAACCAGAAGAGGCACTCATAGCTGAGTAACCGCGTTCAAGACCCTGGCCATAGAGGCGCTCTGTTAAATCCCAATTTCCACCAGGAGCCAGGAAGCCTGTATCGCCTCCGAGGTCCTCCTCCGCCCATGAAACCTCAACAGAAGTAGCCTTCGCCTTGCCTTTACTAGTGGTATCTAGAAAGGATAGCGACAACTCTTGAATTTCGATACCATTCTCGCCGAAGGCAATAAGCTGGAAGAGCGGTGGTTTACAATTATTTGGGCTGAGCGGAGAAACCATAGATGTGAGAGGTGGCAGACAAACACGAGGCGCGACATATTTTGGAGCAGTTTTCCAGTAAACAACATGTAGAGGAGGTTGTGATTGTGAACGAACAGGGAGTGGACATGGTAAGATGTGTGTCCGCTTTCCGCGGCTGAGGCAATATACTTCGCGTGTACCGCCTGGGTAGCCAGGCAGAGGCAGTTCGCACCTCACTGGAGGAACCCATTTCGCTCCTGTTTCTCGGATTTCAGAGGAGAGGCGAGATCTTGAGCGAATAGTTGACTGGCTGAGCGTTGAACTAAAGGTGTCGCGGGGTTGAAGCGTTGGTGGTGGTCCATCATCTTCGCTCAAGAAAAACTCTCCAACAGCAGAGTCTGCCAGGCGTATCCAGCCGGCCTTCTTGTCGAAGATGACAAAGAGACTGAGATGGGTACCATAATTGAAATTAGTTGATGCTGATGAGTTGCGGGGTTCTATGCGAATAGTTCCGCTGCTATCTGATCGTCTGTGTGACTTCTCTGGCGGTATCCGTGCATTTTCTTGAACCGACTGATTGAAAAAGGTCAAGCTCTTTGGTTGCATGGGCGTGTAGAAGTCCTAGAAGAAGGGTAAGGCGAATCAGCAAGTGGACAAAATTTACCCAGAGATGTTATGACCTTGACGAATCTGTAGGCTCTTTCTCCTTTGGGAGTCTCGTAGAGGAAAATGTTCGACTTTGTAGCTATGGCAAGAAGTTGCCCACCTCCCCCTTTGCGATTTACGTCGTACCACGTAGCATACGAAGTCACTGAGGTATTTACCAGTCGCGATCCCGGAGATGCTAGCGGTACGAAGTCTGTGGCCCAACGCAAAGGAAGATCATCGACCATGTCCCAGGCTGATTCCTCTGAACCGTGCCTTGCAGGACTACCGCGCTCAGAACCGGAAGGAGTGCGCGGAAACCCCGTGGTTGATGAGGTAGAAGTGAGCAAAGATTGAAAAGAAGAGGTAGCTGGTTCGGGCTGAGTGGATGGTGTCTCAATCAGAGATTTTAAACTTCGAGCAATGCTTCCCTGCGCTCGATGTCTCTTGGGAGACTGTTGTACTTGCCAGTTTGACGGTCTGTTCAGATCCAATGGACGCGCACCCTGTGTCTCAACCGATCAGTGAGCAGCGCTGACGGCAGTTCCGATGGATCTGACCTTCTGAGCTACAGCCCATCGTGCTAAGCTAGTTAGACTGGCAAGGTTGTACATTCGAAGTGCTCCCGAATGGTGTTGTGATTCAGACTCCGGTCCAACGAGGGCAAGAACCACGCCTTGTGGTGTGCCTTCTCTTCGACCCTCGACTTCGAGGACAGTCATCTGGTAGACACTAAAGCAATGATAGATCAATCTCAAGCACAACGTAGAAGGTTTCCATCTGGATGAGCATACCTCTCACCCCGCCAGATGGCTCTGGCCTGTGCTTCGTCAGGTCCTTTCACTGCAATTTCTCCATTCTCAGTCCATTCCTGAGGAAATATGTCAAGGACAGAAAGGCCCTCATCGTGGCCAATGAGAAGTAGTCTCTCCGCCACTAGCGGTAGTACACAACGAATTTGAGATGTAGTATGGGGTAGGAAACGGGACCCAAACTGATTCATTTTCAGGTGGGTAGGGAGGATGTCATGGCTTGCAAACGCTGGTGGGGTGATAGAGGTAGGTTCACTATTTGGTTCTTGAACGAAGGGGTTAGGACCTTCCAACCCATTGGTTTCAATGTGAAGATTCGCGAAAGTTGGGGACTCATTAATGATAATAGGTGGCGCTTGAGAATGTCCGATCTGAATGGGAAATTCGTTGAATGATAAATCAGATGAACGGGAAATAACTCATTGCCTCCTCGTTTCCCCAGCCTCGTTCCCGCCGCCTCGCACGCTCCTGAGGAGTTACGTCGACATAGCGTTCTGCGGCCCTGTAGATTGCAATTAGATCAACGAGAAACCTGAATATAAGTTACTTGTACCTTTTTTCTATCCATCCTCTCCATCGCCCAAACCTTGAAATATCCGAAGAAAAATGAGCACGACTTTACTACGTCTAGTTGTATATTTAGGTTTCTTGCCTCGAGTTCGGACCGTTCTGAGCAGCAAGGTCATCATAAGTTGGGAGATCATCTTGCCCGTCTGGTATACCCGAGTCTTGCTCTATATAGGTGAGCTGCTCAGCAGACATCGCTTAGCTCGCTTGAAAGAGCAGAAGAAAGCTTTGTGAATTATCGCAAGGCGAAGTCACTATGGTCATGGCAGTACAAGTCCATCAATCACGTGCATTCCGCACAGGATCCAAAGGACCCTGGTATATTCTGTAACATGTCCCATCCATATGCGGACGGAAATGGGTCCCAAAATCGGCTTATGTCCAATCCCTTTGCGGACGGAAAGCGTGAAATTTGGCCGGAGGTCCGATCCATGTGCGTACGTTTTGTGGCTATTGACCAGAGCCTGCCGACCTCAGAAGCTTTCTCTCGAAAACTTTTACTAGCCATCACACCTATCTACCTGAACCAGACCTGCGAGCATGTGCAGGTGTGATCAGTTTTGCGGACGGAGATGGGTTTACACGCCGAAAAATCGTGCGTACATAAGTGCCAAAATTTGGCAGTTTTGGATCGGACATTCGATAGCATATACCAGGGTCCTGGATCCAAGCCTCAAAGCTTCAAGCGGGCGTTTACGATCTGAACCGACATTCTATCTTCTGGAAACGTAGGTCAAATTTGGAAAGAGTCATTGCATTTCCTACCCAACAAATGTGCTCGGTACCAGCCTTCATGGAGCTGTCAAAATCTGATCTTCAAGTCAGAAGGTATGGAAATCACTAGATTTCAACACTGCCCATTTTTTAGGCTGGCGATTTCCAGAAAGTATGGTCCGTATGTGAAGTTTGACATTATGCCCGTGATCGCTTCTGAATTCTTCTCAGTGTTCAACGACGACCACCCCTTCTTTAACAGCAGCATCAAGGCGGTTCGGAAGTCAAATTTATTCCAGGTGACTCGATAGAGGGTTCCTCGAGAATTCCCCATCTATCTCCTTAGACTCGAATCAATGTACGCGAATGGGTCAAGGTGGAACAGCATTTCAAAAATGGAGTTGCCGTGAACATAGATATCAAACTTTGAAAGTTAGGCTTTCACTTCTAGAGGATGGATCGTTCTTGTAAGTAAACAACTTTACATGTCCCGAACAAAACATAAGAATATTACAAGGTCACCAATTGCAAGCGAACACGCCAGTGTCGACACGTGCTTTTGTTTACTCTTGTGGTGGAGTGCACTGCCCATCAAAAATCCTACTTGGGTAGAACACCGCGTTAACGCGTGTATTCAGGTTCTAGCATTAATCGGATTATTTACAGCAAGCCCACAATGCAACGCGAGGGCCAAATGGCATCCTACAAATCACATTGATGGGGTACCTTGGCTATCCAAGAGTATAAAGGAGAAGAACGACTCCGAGTCGTTCCAGTCAACGATCGTCACTACCATGTATTCCGAAGCTAAGCAAACACAACAGTCATGGCGCACTCATTCACCACCATCGTACTACCCAAACGAGGATGATTTGAAAAGGTTAGCCGATAGCAGCACTATTTACCATATCTTCATAACAAGAATGGTTTCAGTCCTTATGAGAAAGCGTCATCAAACGAAGATGGTGGGTGGCGTAGTTATCCTCCTAGTCGAAGTATACTAAACAACTTTTTGGTTTAGATCATTTGGACTCTCAATTAAGCATTCTTGAATCCTACAACACAATTTTCATCTTGGATGACTCTGGATCCATGCTCGGCCCGTCCGGTGTCGGTAACCGAACGCTCTGGCAACTTGTTCGTCGGAGATATCCTCTAAATTTCTGGCGTCAGGCTGATCATGTATATTTTACGCAGGCTGTTGAAGCACTGAGACCGCTTGCTCTCAAAGCCGCGAAATACGATGACGACGGCGTAGATATTTATCTTATTAATCAGTATTGTCAAGGAAATAACCTAAAGGTGGGCTTCTGTTTATTTCGGGGCTGTTGAAGTGTCCTGACACAACTTCCGGTTTTGTCCAGGATGCACAGAGTATTGAGAGGTTCTTCTTGGGATTGAACGCCAAGCGCCAAGCGTTGACTGACATTGGTCGAAAACTCGAAGACGTGACGCGAGCTTATTTGTCCGATATCAGACTGGGCAAGCCGTGCAAACCACTGAACGTTATAATAATAACGGACGGCGCACCCAGTGAGTCGCTCGGTTTTTCCTCACATTGCTCGCCTTGAAATGGAATATCAGCCGATAAAAGTGACTTGGAAGCCTACATAAACAGTACAGCCAAACTCCTTGAAGCAGGAAATTATCCGCCCTCACAGGTAAAACCCCCACGCTTCCGAATTTATCAGTCTCTCAACAAAAGCATCGCACAGTTTGGAATCCAATTTATACAAATCGGCAATGATCGAGAGGCCACTGCATATCTTGACAAACTCGACGACGACCGTGATGAACGAAAACGTAAGAGGCTCAGCTTTTGGTCAAGAAAACCAAAGCAGCGTGCTGCTCGCGTGAGTAAATTCCAAACCTAGGTAACAGCGCCAACTTACATGGCCACAATTAGGATATCGTTGATACTACAAAATCAGTTCCCAACAGCCAGTTCAACAGCGAATATCTGGCGAAAGCACTTCTCGGAGGCATTCACCGCAGGATTGATAAAGAGGGAGCCAGAAGGGTAGAGGGCTAGAGTAGGGAACTATGATCATCGAACATATCAGCGTCCACTAATAGGCAACAGAAGAATGAAGCTAATTCTTGATCCGGTTTGTAAAATACGATCCAATGTATTGGAATTAATAAGAACTCAATTTCACATATCCCAGTCCTCTAAGGCAAATGCTAAAACGCCAAAAGCCGGGGCTGCCTCACTCAGTCCGCCCGCAAGACTCTCCACTCCTCGCCGAACAAACCGAACAAGCCCGTCAAGTTCCGTCGACATCTTATCCACGCGAGTAAAGAAATCCTCCCCAGCAGCAGAACTCATCATGGAATACGAGGGATCCGGAGTATCAGGGATAGTATCCAAATTCACCTCCACCTCCTCATCGTCGTCTTCGGAACTGGCTTCCGACTCGTGTAGGGATTGCGAAAACCCAATGACATCGCGCCGTAGTCGTCTTTGTCGGCGGCTACGGTGACGTCGCATAGAAATGGATTGACGGGAAACATCGAGAGTTGTCGTGGTGTCTCCTGCAAATGTGGCGAACATATCGCTGAAATGAAGGGATAGGTCCAGTATGGAGATGATAGATCGGTGAAGCGCAGATGTCTGTTCAAGTTGTTGAATAGGTAGGAATGAAAAGTTTATGATGCCACATACATTCGATTTGAGGAGACAGCGTCCTTGTATTTTATCCAGACTTGAAAGAAGTCAGTTTACCGTTATAAAAGGTCTGAGTTACAACGCACTGTTCGTCGTGTACTTGTATCATTTCATCTAGTGATTTGGTATCTCGAAAGTCATCATGGAATTTGAGCACTTGAGCATGTATCACCTTTCTTCGGATTGAGACGCCATCCAAAATATGAAGAATGAAACATACATATGTTGTAAAAAAATTGAGCAAGGTACTAGGAACGTCTTGTTTAGCCATCAACAACAGAGAAAAGAATGAAGTCACCAACTTGATGAACCAACTCAGCCTGCTTCTCATAGCATAAAAGGCCTTGAACTCCTCCTTCAGCTTCTTGTCCCGTCCACGCTCCCCTCTCACAAGGATCCTCTCCAATACGCTCTTTGCTCGGCGAACTTGCAACAAAAACACAAAGATGTCCCCATACACTTGTATAATGCGAGGTCGGAAGATGTAAGTCAAAGGAAATGGGATGGCGTATCCGAGGAGAAGGCCATCGATAGCTTTGACTGTTTTATTGATGGATTTTTCTTTTTCTTTGGTCCCGCGATAGGAAAGCCGGACGAGTGATGGCTGTATCCATTCCTTGGCGCCTGCATTCAAATTGGCTTCTACCACATCATTAAAGGCAGTATTCATGAAATGAAAGTCACTCCAGGATTGATGGGTGTCCATCTACAATGAGAAGGTCATTAATCCCAGTAAGGTTAATTGCTAAGAAAGGACTGACTTTGGCAAACAAAACATCGATATAGTGGCTTACAGCATCTCCCTTTCTCATGAGGTATAGATCTTCAATCGATCCAAGATGCCTCCACAAATCACAGTCGTCAACGAGAACTTTCGCAAGGAGCGATCCAGTCGCCTGACACCGTGGTAGAAGACCGTCATAGATGATTCTTGAAAGCGTGTCAACCGAAACTGAAAATAAGGCCCCACCATCCTGACCGGACCTCCCGACAGCGGGAGAATTTGAGCTAACGACCTCTGCAAATGACCTCCACTTCCCAAACCCATTAGCGGAAGGCGGGATCCCAAGCGCCCTGATCAAGCCAACAGCCTTCCCAGTTCCAAGCACAAGCTCAGCAACATGTTCCAAGAATGCAGGGATAGCTTTCTTTTCCTCCTGGATCCGACTTTCGTCCTCGCCCAGCACCACACCCTCGCGTAGAGAGTACCCTTCCTTCCAAAACTCCGGATCTAGAAGGCCCATCGCCATCAAACCAACACCAACACCCGTGCTCTCGATGAAGAACTCCTCATCAAGCTCATCTGCCTGTCCAGGAACGCCGCCCCGTCCGATTGCCAAACCAAGCCCCATACCGTCTTTCAGCCACTTCCCAATCATGCCCCAAACAGGCTCCGCAGATCGAACAAAAACACGCATGAGCGTATCGCTCGTCACTGTGTCGCCTCTCTCCAGATGTTCTTGCACATGAGAGAACAGGGAATCTAGAAGAAATGCTGTAACTGCCGCTGGTGATCGTCTCCCCATCGCAGGGAAAGTGGCGTGTTCTGAGAACCCCTCCTTAACGTCAAATACATTTTGGACGACGTCGAGCAGAACCTCAAACGAGGTTTCGTATTGGTCCCTAACGGCCTTCTCTGTCCCTAAGAGACTGACAACAACGTCATCTTCGTCAATTCCTGCGCTAGCACGACACATGACTTCTTCACGTCTTGCGCACCAAGCATCGAGGCTTCGGATCTCGTGGTCAATTGCGTCAGCAAAAGCTTCACAAGTCCGTGTGGTAGTGGCTTTTCGGATATACGTTGCTGCACTTTGGGAGGGCTTGATGTACTGTGATCGTGATTGCAAGAAAATGGATGCTGTGAACCGCCGCAGATTTTCTACGGTTGCGGCAGTTTTGGATAATGATGAAAGAATAGATGATTGTGATGCAATGCTCAAGTGAATAAGTCTTGGAGTTGATGGCGTGATCTGTTCGAGAAGAACAATCATGTAAGGGCTACGCGGGTCGAGCATGGAGACTAACGGTGTATGCTCCATCTCTCCATGAGAGCACGATATTGTTCCGCCCTTGAAGCGCTATCAAGACCTCACGTACCAAATCCTCTTCGTCAATGAATTTCTACCGTAATATCTCAGTAAATGAGCCCAAAGCTAGGGTAATTGAAGTGCTAAACACACCTCAGGTTGAAGAATACCGTGTGCCGCAAGACCCCCTTGCTGGCGAGCGAGCGCATGTGTCAATGCAGGACCTGGAGTGTGGGGTCAGATGAGGGCACAAAAAAGCAAGGCTGACTGACCCAACGTCGAGGGATCCCAAAGATCAAATCTCCGCTTCGGGTCGGCGTCAGTTGTCCAGCCATCTCTCCAATACTGCCTTGCACGCAAATCTTCAAAGACCTTTCGATGGGCATATGTGTATGGCATCTTCGCCTTTGCTTGAGTGGATGGCCAGGGTTCATTTTCCACCTGCTTTGGAAGAGACGATGCAGGCTCCTCATAATCGCTCGTCGACAGGGAGTCATCATTGTCCAGTGCCAAATCATCCGAGTTTAGAGGTGACAGGGAGGGGGTAGTGTCCCAGTCATTCTGGTGGCCATCATATATGCCCTCCCAGTGCTCACCCTCAAATGGTTCTTCAGCTAAAATTTCTGCCCAAGTCAACGCTGGAGGGGGAGCAACTGGGTTGTTCGCATTTTCAAGATACTCCTTTGCGAAGGAGAGCGTTTTGGGTGACGAAGGTTCGGAAAGGGTAAGCTAGCGGTAGAACATGAGATGAGCACAAGGAAGGACAATGGGCAACCCACAAGAAATTGGAGATGGTCTGGGAGTCGAGATGTCTACAGATGTAAATTTGAGTGTTAAAATGGGGAAATAACGAATACCAATGGCACCTGAATCTCCTGGTCAAGGTCGTTCTCCCTTCCCTCGACGATGTCTTTGAGCTTCTTGTACGAAATCTCCAATGCCTCCCCATGTGCATCTCTGGAGTTAATTCTCGATTTTAGAGCAAGCCTACGAGTCACATATCAGCGCTAAAGTGTACAAGAGAACTGAGTGTACCCACCCACTTATCTGACGGTCAACAACGCCCATATCTACACCAGCAGCAGCCTTGTGTATCGTTGTCGATTCCAGGCTTTTCACGGCGTATTCGACAAGAGAACGAAACTTCTCCCCACCTTCATCTGAGGGAGTTCCGTCCTCCAGTAAGCCGGTGACTTGAGCAATGAGGGTCTGACAGACAGGAACGAGGCGAGATCGAGCATGCCGAGAATGTGGGCGTTGTGAATAGCGTGAGTGTGGCCGAACAGTAGAAGTGCTGGGGCGTGTTGTTGAAAGGCTGGACGGGGGTCTGTGTGAGGCGCTCGACGATGGACGGGAGACAGAAAGGGAAGAGCTTGGTCTTGAAGAGATGGGTGCAGATAATCCAGAACTGCTACTGGAAGGAATCATTTGGGAATCATCTGAGCGGAGGTTTACTATTATTTAGTTACGTAATATAAATTGCTATTTTCGCGTCAATAACATCACGTGGTACGTGACGACCGTGGTGGTGACGACGTGAAACTACTCTTGGTAAGGGTAACCAAATTTGCCCTGATCCTTACGACGCCAGAGCTTTTTCCTAAAGAGACTATATGAGCATCCTGAGAAAGATTGGGAGCAACTGAACATACTTCTTCTTTGTTGGAAGGTGCTCAACAAATACTTCCACACAGTGCTGTGCTTTGAACTCGCGAATGAACCGCGGATCCCTTGAAACACAATGAACAAGAAAAACAGTGTTAAAATGGTACTAAACTTACCAGAGTTCACTTGCAATGCCCAGGTCTTTACAGCATCTCATAAGGGCATTGCTTTTGCAGGCTTCAGTTGCCGTCGGAATGCCAGATGGGTCAAAGTATTCTTGTTCTCCGCGGGCAATAGCTACCAGCCTGTAACAAGCAATTAAGATCCATTCGAACGACATAAAAAGAAATAAATGAACCTTCCTTGACAAACCAAAGCGTACTCTCGACTAACAATCTTTGGACCAACATTTGTTTCACTCCGTGGTGCGAGTCCCCATCCGCCTGGACCAAATGCTTTGTTCAACACTCGTCGGTACTTGATTTCAGGAAGATATATCAAGCCATCTGAGACATAATGAGGGTCAAGGCCAGCTGTAAGCGTTTCGAACTCACCAGGTTTCATTTCGACGTCCAATGGGTCAATAGGAGCAAGCAAGATCTCCGCAATTTCCTTCGAGAAAGCTTGAGACGAAAGGCCGTGATAACTCTTAGACCAGTCAGTTCCGTGGTTATTGCCGTTAGCCTCTGGCAAAAACGAGGCCGCGGTGTCTTCAGCGGAAAGTTGGTTTCCATTGTTTAGCGGTTTCTCCGCTGGAGCAGGAGTCTCTACCTCTTTAGCAACGGTTGTATTGGATCCGACGGCTGATGGCGCTGGTGAACTGCTAGCTGGGGCGGCGCGTGGAACCCAAGCTGCCCTGCTTGGTCTGACAGTCGAGAAGCGGGACAGTAGACGCGGAACGGTGGCAGCTGATAGCCGCTGTAGCCCTAAACTCATCGTAAGGATGGGCTTCAAATATTACCGTTGCGTTGTTGACGGTTGGTAGATAGTAAAGGGAAGTGGGAGAAAACTGCGACAGCAAAGACACTGAACAGCGAAAACAAGTATCATGTCACGTGACTTTCTTTACATGTTTTCGATACTGCTTCGTCTAGACTCTACCAATCGTCTACCTGGTACCACCAATCTACCACTTTCCAATTGGCTTGTGCGCAATGCCTGTCGACTTTTCGACATTTATAACTCAATTAAATGACGCCCTCCTTGCTGAAAACGGACCCAACCTCGCCTACCTTCTACGACCAACAAGTCCACATGGGAAAGATCTTGTGAAGGAGTTTCGCAATCCGACGGTGAATCTTTATCGTGTAACACGCTCTTTGGATCCTTGACGAGGTAAAAATAGCGCCAGATGTTGAGCCGGTACGAGGGAGGCATCATGAGCCCATGGGACGAGATCGCCATCCAGTATGTCTTGACATGTGGACATATAGCAAAGAAGAGATACGGAGAGGCATTCAAAGAAGAATCGCAACTCGTCTCGTAAGTGATTTTGGCACGGTTCGCGCCTACATTATTCTTAGATGGTCTGGTGAACATCAGCTTATTCTTCCGATTCTTCACCGAAAATCGAGGCTGGACATTGCCTGCTTTGTTTTCAATTTTGAGGGATTTGAGAGACCTCGCATATGATGTAGCTTTCCTTCTCTTCAATTTTTCGAAAGTGGTCTCAAGTCAATGCCAGGCCGACTTTCACGCAAAGTACCAGGGTCAGAAGAGCGAGTGCATGGAAGAGGCTGCCCGAATAATTGCAAAAGCGTTCGGAAATTGTATGACTGACAGGTGTGAGGTGACATTGTTCCAAAATGGCACCCTACATGCTAAATTCTCAAACGTTACCAGAACCTCACCGCCCGACCAGTCAAGAAAGTGGGGAGTTTACTATGTCGTGGGCTTGGTTCTAAAGTGTTACTTTCGGGTATGTTCCTCCTTCTGTATAAAATTTTGTGATGCGATCCCCCCATTTTCAGGTCAAGCGGATATCACTATCAAAAAATGTTCTCCGTGCCCTGGAGGCAAATAACGACATCCCCCCGCTCTCTTCATACCCTCGATCACACCAAGTATGCTCACATCATAACCAATCATGTTCGACGCTTATCTGTTCACGTTAGGTCACGTATCGATATTATTTGGGCATGCTAAGTTTTCTGAATGAAGAGTTTGCCAAGGTATGATCGTGTCCGGTTCCCTTGGGCTTTATCTAATGCTCAGATTTTCGAAGGCTGAACAGGAACTAACACTTGCTTTCTATAATTGTCACATTCAAGCTCATGCCAATCAAGAGTTTGTTTCCTGCATCTAGCTCATCTCCTGGCACTCATCTCCCACACCAGACGAATTTTGACCTACCTCATCCCCCTAAGGATTTTGAAAGGTCACCTCCCATCTGCCGAACTAATGCAGCGTTTTCCCGTTCTGGACGAGATATACGCACCTTTCATCGCAGCTCTCCGAGCTGGTGACATACAAACATACGACAATGCTCTAGAAAAGTGGGAAAGAAGGCTCCTCGAGCTCAACCTGTGGCTAACTCTCGAAAAGGCGAGAGAGTTGTGTCTCCGAGGCCTGTTCCGACGGATGTACGCGTCTCACTCTCTTTGACAATGAAATCAGCTAATCTCGTTCTTAGGTGGGTAGCAGCAGATAAAGCCACACGAATCCCAATATCAATGTTTCACACTGCCCTCAAAATCTCAGGCAGCGACGTTTCGGTGGAAGAAGCGGAGTGCCTTGTGGCTAACCAAATTTACAAGAACTTTATCCGTGGATATATCAGCCACGAAAAGCAAATGGTCGTGTTGGCGTCGGTGAATACATTTCCGAGGTTGGCGGATCGTCCGACACCGTTCGCGTTGATATAACAATCGGTGTTGTTGAGTGGTTGTATGAGAATGAGTATGTATTCCGTTTATTTATCGTGTAAAAGAAAGCGATGTTGGCAGCCATCATTGTCTTTAGCGTCGAGCGTTTTTAAGAGGTTACAAGGTAAGCTTCCATGCAAAAGTCTTCAACCCGCCATGCACGTGCACTAATTCTTTCTCTCGACACAGAAAATGATATTCTGAAGGATCCTATGTTTAGCTAATAAGAAGGTCTCTACCCAAATGGATTCTTCTCGATACTGTTGCATGTGCACTTGCGATAACGACTGAGGATGAGCGCTTACTTTCCTTGCGACATCCGGTCCATCTGTTGCCAAGTGACTTTTGTATTCAATGTGGGTCCTTTGATCAGATCCAACCGTTCACATTCAAGCCCATACCAATCGAGGGTTTATTCGAGCACCTACCTCCTCCATCAGGCGAATTTTGACATATCTCGTCCCCCTCTCGGTTCTGGAAGGTCACTTTTTATTCACCGAACTGATTCGGCACCGTGAATTTACCAGTTACGAAAAGCGAACGGTCGTGCTGCATCGGTGAATACATTTCCGAGGCTGGCGAATCGTCCGGCACCCTGCATCGATATCAAAATTGTAGTCGAGTGGTTGCACGACGTGATGAGAATGTGTTTGAGAAGGAGGTAAGTCGTCTCCGTCGTTTTGTTGTTCAATCGAACTGACGCTCGTGCCTCGGAATCAGAGAAGGAACGTCGAAATTCTGAAGATCCGATTCGGAGAAGCTACGCTGCAAGTGTGTGAGGTCATGCTGAAGGACATGACAGATTGGAAGAGAATTGATGGGCATGTCCAATCTCAGAAAGCTGTTTGTTGTTCCTCTCTTTCTCCGAAAGTTGGAAGCTGACAGTGTAATTTATCTACAGTCAAACGTACATCCGACAATTAACATTTTTGGCCTGCGCTTGAATCAAGTGACATGGTCATGTCAGGACAGTTCCAGCGGTACGTCCTCGTTTTCTGACTCCCCCACCCCATTCCTCCCAACTAACAAAATTTGCAAAAAGACTGCAGGACCTATATGCGCAAGAATTCAGTATTTTAATGACAAGAAACTGAAGTGGTTACAACTGTACGCCTGGAGCTGCAGCTTGACGATCGGACGGTGGAGGCAGACGTACCTCCGCTTGAAGCCGCTTTTATTGAGATGCTTTCAAATAAGAATGAGTTTGCATTTCTTGCTATGATTTTCATAAAGAGATGTTGGTCGCGCTCTAGTTCGGGTTGACTGACCTGAACGACCTCTTTTTCGTTTCCTTATATCATGTATCCCAGCTTGCGCTATGTTAACCATCCTTCTCTTTTGATAGATAAATGGACGCTGGAGGAGCTCATTACAGAAGTGGGCGATATGGATCGGGGCGCTGCATTCGAAGCCCTCGTCACATGGGTGAACATGGGCGTGTTGAAGGAGGACTCAGAGAGTATGTTTGGGCTTCTTCAGAGGGCGGAGGAGGGCGTGTCTGGTAAGGGGTCACCTGGAGGATGGGGTGTTTCTGCGGGTACGTTATTGGTTGCCATCACTCATTGGGTGCTTGTGCTGATTGGTGGTGGGGTTAACGCAGGTCCCGAACTACCGCACGTGATAACTGCGCAACAACAACAGACCGAACAGATGAAGGTTTATTGGAAGGTCTGTCTATTCCTTCCCTCAATCGTGCTCCAGCCCCAAAACTGACAATATGTAAGTTCATCGAGTCTACCCCTTGACAGGATTCAAACCATGTCAAGGTTCGCGCCGGGGTACGATCAGTCGATTGAGCAGCTCGCGACGTTCATGGAGGCTGCGCGGAGGGAGGGGTTGGTCGTTGTGAGGGACGGGATGTGGAGGTTGAATAACTAATCTTGGAGTCGTGTCGGAGGTGTACTTATAGATTCGATAACGTAGTCGGATAAAGGAGGTCTTGTCCTGTCGTGCTATACCTTGTTGTGTTGGCCTAAAAAAACGGCATTGTCAAGGATCGTGAATCCGGCGCGCCCTTGCTGCGCTTCCGCATAACCGCGTCACTCCTTGTCGAAAGGTTTCATCATCCAACATGGCCGCCATCGTTGACCTCCAAATGCCAATCGATGATGGATACCACTCATACCAGGCTGCGCTATCTATTCCTGTTAAGGCGTGTCAACGCTTCTCAGTGCATCCCCTCAGCTGGTTGCGGTTTCTAGGCTATACAATCTACGGCACCGAAGGCTACATCTCCCGGTCCCCCACTGGCCGAGTGGTCAGATATTCCGAGCTCAATACAGATTTACAGGCCGGCATTTACTACTATAGACCCGACGAACCAGGCAAGTAATATTTCGGCGTCTGAGGACCCCTCAATGCTCAATGTTTATTCAATGTCAGAACCACTTCTCCTTGACCCGGATTTAATGGACAACAAGGCTTCAGATTCATCAGCCATCTCCATTCGCCAGCGCGATTTCGCACGGGACGTGATTGATCGCGACGGAACCTGTCTGATGACTGGCGCAGCAACAAACTTTCAGGCTTGTCATATCATACCTCACGCAAAGGGTAGTGAGGTACGGTTCTGAATATTTGAATCCCTTAGAGTTCTCATTCCAGGCCCCAGTACATTAGCGGTCTTGCCGACCACAGGAATGAGGTTTTGGATCCACCCTTGGATGACATCAATGATCCACGTAACGGAATCCTGCTTTCTCCAGTACTACACAGGCCATTTGGAGAATCTGTGGTCGCTTTTTTAAAAATTAGTTATTTCACCCAGTTGTCTTCCATGTGGCTTAACTAATTCATAGACACCCAATTTTGCGATGTCTGTCAACGACGTGGCTGTCGTCATGCAACCCAATGCCCAACATCTGGGCTTCAATCCATCAATTGCCACCAGTCGCCTCACATTTCAGCACTTCAGTGCCCCTGATGTTGTCACTGCGCTCGTGGCACCTCACAATTCGGATGCGAGGCAACGTGTGGGCCATGATAACTGGCCACCAACTCTTCTCTTCGACATCTCCTATGGCTGTGCTGCCCTCCACGCCTGGGGGGTGCCTCAGTTTGTGGAATTGGCCCGACAGCGTACTAAGTATATTTATTATGAAGACAACGACGACGACGGTGAGAACGATGATGGTGGTGAGGGCGACGACGGCAGTGATGATGGTGGTGATGGTGGTGATGGCGGCCATAGTGATGATGGTGGTGATGGGGAGCCAGATGTTCAGCTGATGTCTGAACGTGCTTCGCGGGGTGCTGCACGAGAGAAGAGGAAGTCTGAACCTGCTTGGCGGGCTACTCCACGAAAGAAGAGAAAGCGGGAAATGGACTCTCAGACCCCTGACTTTGCTGACATTATCTTAGCATTGTGGACGCACAACGCGAGGAAGGGTCAGCGTCAGGCACGTGAAGCAAAGGCAGAAGAGACCCAGGAGAAAGTCCGAACATGGCTCGATTCTACAAAAACTTGATCAGCACAATGGTACAGTATAAAGCATAAGTTATTATTATTTTTCCAGGCTCAGAGCGTCTGCGCTTGTCACTTTCAGATGCAATTTCCGATACCATCCACGATGATACCATTGATACCTCTTGTCTTTCTGTATGTATGAAAAGAAATTCACGTCACGGTAACGCAAATCCAGCTTGCATATGTCCTCAATGAAGCTTTACAAATTTCTACTTGACCATAAGTCCTTATAAGAAGACCATTATAATAATCATGGGTGGGTGTTTTCAACTTTTGTACTTGTATCGGTGGGAAACAATCTTATCATTCGTACCGCTAACCGCTAACACATTACTCTTCATTTACACTTCGACATATGCATGATCTATAACGTGGTGGCTCTTTTTACGTTCCGGCCACAGGTATACCAGCCTACACAAGCACAGGCACCAACAGCTTCACAACAGCCACACGGATGGCTTGTCCTCAACATCTACAACACCATGCTACCGCTCGCCCTCAACATCTACAGTATTCTCAGCAGCATGCATCTCTCTAAACTTGTACAAGCGCCCGCTCATCGTCATTCGCCGTAATAATTCTCTTGGTCTCGTTTACATAGACAGACAAACTTGAAGCAAACGGATGGTGAGTACCACGACCCAGCAGGTCCATCATCCCTTGCATCACCCTATCGCTACCGCGGTTGCCTGACATTCGACTATTCGACTACAATCTTGTTTCTCTTCGACTCTTGAACTGCCGCGGCCCCCGGGCTCCCTCGGAAATCTTGGATGGCGGGTGTCGAAAACCCAGCGGAGGGAAGACTTTATCAAGCCGAGCTGTTTTAGCGTGATCACCGACCTTGGTTGAAAGAGTGTGCATACCTCCTCTGGCCTCGCTATCTGCCTGAATGGAAAGCCTCTTGGGTGCCAACAAGAGTTTGCATTATAGTGGTTGTGAAGATGGTGTCGTCAGGACTCAGGAGAGTACGGACTTAATTAACGAGTCTTTCTGAGAACATTTCGCTCATGCATTTTAGTTTTCGAGTCTGCTTGACGCAACGCGAACCGATGACGGCAAACATGGTATTCTGAGAAAATTCTACTCCTCTTCGGGAAGTGCTGAAGCAGAAATCTCGCTGCTGTTTTCTGGCGAACCCCACGTTTCCAACCCCGAAAAATCACTGCATCCCGACCACCATTCTCGACGTGCCGAACGAAGAAGATACTCAACTGTTGGTGATGCCCTTGCTCCAGAGTTGGGAGGAGCCAAAATTTGACACAATAGGAGAGGTCGTTGATTTCTTTCGTCAGGTATTCGAGGTGAGTATCGTCACGACTTCATGTAGTTGTTCTTATCTTGATGCTATACTGTTCAGGGTCTTCAATATCTGCATATCAACACCGGTGCGTTTCCGTCTTCCGAGTAAGATGGAAAACTCACATTTCCACAGAGATTGCAAGTATGACAACATCTTGGTGGACCCTACAGGTCTATACTTCGTACTTCCCCACCCCTCCGGCCTCATCTAACTCGTGATTTTCGATCTACCCCCTCGCATACTACTCGCACTTTGGCGCCTGTGAGGTACCATTTCATAGATTTTGGTGGCGGAAAGAAGACAACCTGTCGGCGCCACTTGAAGAATGCCTGCCTTGAGGATGGGGCGCCGGCGATGGGACAATCTCAGAGTTCAAGAAGGACGAATTTTGCGATCCCTTTTCCGTTGTTGTTGAAATTCCAAACAACCCATTTTCCAATGGGAGGCGTTTGATCGTTGTCGATACACTAGAGATATTTGGCGACTTTTCGGAATCTATAGGCGCATTCAACGATCTCAAGGTACTCATTGAACCTTTACCTCGTTCCTATCACCACACTCACCCCCGCCCCGTTTGTGCTTAGGACTGCCTACAACGCATAGACCAACGAAAAGCCCTCGTCGCGGCTCTCCCCAAGGCGTGCGCCTTTTCCCTTCTCAGTCATCCCTCCCTCCTCCCTTCTTCTCTCTCCCATCCTCCATCTTCCCTCCCTTCATATGACACGTACTTACGTATGTTTCAACTTTCTAGAAACCGAAAACGTCTCCTCCACGAAACTCATCCTCTTCCAATACGTCGCTACCATCAAATGTTTGAGGATTGTCGATCCACCGGGAGTGCTGTTCTTCAAAGTCGCGGATTTGTAAGGTGACTGATATCGGCTGTGACAGTGGTTCCTGCTGTCGCACTGGATCGCTTTGCTGTCAAGGTATGGAATCGACATTGACGCGCCTTTTTAGACGGCGGTTTGCATCGAGTTGAGTAGTTGTACGACGTGATGAGAACGTGTTGCATTCATTTCTGGCGGAGCCTCCGGTATAAGCATTGAACAATCTCATCGAAGTAGAGCTTTACTTGATGCGGGCAAGGTAAGATGCCTCCAATCCAATGTCCTCATTCACTAATTATCTTTCTCGACATAGGAATCAACATCTTGAGGGATCTCCAGACCCAACTTTGAACTAATGAGGGGTCAGACTCCTCTAGCCACCCTTGTTCGCCATAACTCGCTCGCTCTCCTTACGACATTCGTTGCCAAGTTTCAGACGCCCTGATGACTTCTATATACATATTCGAGATGGGTTGTTTTCACTCCAACAATCAGGGTGTCCACAACTCTTACCTATTTGATTAAATATACAAGGAAAGGGACGTCGTTGATAGGCAACGGGTACCTGTTAGGATAGCATTATTTCTGATCACAAACCTCTCCCTTCTTTTTGTAGAGCTTCAAGCACGGAAAATAAAGTGATTATGTATACCCCGTTTGCAGGGATCACTACTTTTCAATTCATCAACAGCTCAGGCTTGGTTGGCATAGCACCTTGATAGCACCTGCCAAAGTAGCCCAAAGTCCAATGACGGATTCGATGCCAAGACAAGGGCGTGTTTTGCAAGATCTTAATCACCTCAAGCAGAAGCAGAGCAGAAGACTATCCCTGAGTGTGGTCGCTACATAAAAAGGTATGAAGTCCGTCTTTGCGGAATCCCAACATATCCTTGAACTTCCAGTCACGATGCTCTCGTTTAAGAGGGTTGGTTTTTGCTTTCTCATTTTTGCGGTGTCCGACCTTGTCCTTGGCGCAGATCTCCCCGGGGATCCTTTCATCCCCGTACCAGACACTTCTATACCTGACACACTCCTCACACCTCTGATCATTAAGCCATTGGGATCCTCTAACGTGGAGGCCCGGGATGAACCAGGAGTTCTCACAGGCTTGCTCGAATCCCGTCAATCTTGTTCGGCTGGTTATGGTCTTTGCTCAACCGGCCGTTGCTGCCCTCTAGGAGGAAGGTGCTGCTCAAATGGTATTGTCATTCACACTTTTCTGGGAACATTGGCTTATTCTGATTTATTCAGGTGGCTGCTGCGGAGCTGGTTATTGGTGTTATTCTACTGGTATTGGGCGGATTCTGCCCCTGCAGAATCTGGTTCTGATCATCTGTCTTTATCTAGGTTGTTGCAGTGTGACTGAGACGGGTTGCGCAAATGTTTCTTGCTGCCCCACCGGCGCGCGATGTTGCCAAGGTAGGCGTCATTCCTCTCCACTTGAATACCTTTGAACTTTTTGACGCGTCTTTTCAGGTGGCGGTTGCTGCAAGTCGTCGTAAGTAGTCCAACGGCGAAGTTATATCACGTGGAACTCAGCACAACAACAGAGAGAACTGTGTCATCACCGCGTCGGGCGTTAAGGGCTGCTGTCCTATTGGCAGCACATGCAGTGGTACTCCAGGACGATGCAGTAATTCTGCCTACGTTCCTTGCTCCAATGATAACTTTTGCTGCCGTGAGCGACATTTGCCAGCCACCGTAAATGTAGGACTGAGTTTTCACTTTAGCGCCTGGTGATATCTGTTACAGAGATACGAGTGGCAATGCACCTCGTTGCAGAAGCCCATCTCAGAACCCATCTCCTCCTGCGGCGACTACTACTTCCACTCTGCCGCGCACCGCTACAACATCTTCGCGAGGTCAGTTTCTCATTGTTCCAGTACGATGTATTAGCTGAGGCGGTCTTTGCAGCATTGCCGTCTAGTTCTGCACCATCCATTCCGACGGGTAATGGCTTGCCAACTCCCCCATCCGGTTCAGCTTTTAGAGTCATCTCCGTCACTGACAGCAGCATTACATGGAAAGGCCCCTCATGGACTGTTGTTTTTGGTCCATGCAACGTGAATAATACCCTTCCCTCCAAGAAAACCACAAGCAGCGACCATTCTTTGACTTTCATTTCCAATACAAGTACGCATTCTATTGTTTCATTACCTGCTTGGAGCTCACCAAACGGCATTTCATCAGGCATTGCCATTTATGTCAATGTGGCTTCCTACAATGTTTATTACGACGTTTACTATAACGGCCGTTTGACGAGCTACTCGCCGTCGACGTCTCTGCCAAACTGCACCTACATATCGTTGGCCCGGGACCTGACTCCAGGGGTGTCTGTCAATATCACGATTTTCATTTATGGGGCAAGCTTGCAATCGCGGCAAGCTGAAACTGATTCTTCATCGTCGTTCGATATAAACAACTTTGTGTAAGCCTCTCATTTTTTGGAAATTTTGAGGAAACGCTGACCTTCGTTTAGGCTCATGGAACCCACACGCAAAACAGTGACCGCTGGACCCTCCAGCACTGCTCCTGCCTCAAGCTCTGCGAATCGGCTTGAAAGAAATAGCATTATCAACTATGTTAGCTATGTATTGGCTGGAGTTATACTATTACGGGCTTAGTTTGGCCAGCTCACGTAGTGTTGCAAATCGGCGTTTCCTACCACAAATTTCAGACAGATCCCTTCAGTAAGAATATGTTTTTCTTCTGGAGGAAATCGACCAGGCTGGAGCAATTGTAGACTTTACGTAAGCAATGACTGGAGTCTTTGCAATTAACTGACCTTCAACTACTCCCGTTCTCTCACCGAAATCTAACGTTACAGTAATCGGCAAACAACCTGGTGAATATCGTCAGACTATCATGTCCGAAAATGCCAATGGCAGCGCCAGCACAAGTGCAGTGCCAACCGCGTCTGAGCTGGTTCAGACGAGGGATGCGGCGGACATGATGAACATTCTACAGAGTCTGATGAAAGGACAAACTGGAGAAGTTATGAGCCACGAACGCATGGCTCAGGTCTTGGTGACGAATATGTCAACCCTCGTGAAGCAGGGGAAGCTCAATCAGAATCAAATCCTTCAGGTGTGGCCTGAACAATGCCCTTTGTGCGCAAGTGGCTCACTTTTATATTCAGCTCAAACAATTCGTTGACAAACACTCCATGACCGCCGTATCTAACAAACTTGCTCATTCAGCCTTGAAGGCTACCCTGGAGCCGGGGACTCAAGCACCCATCCTCTCATCACACAATCCAGCAGATGGATATCCACCTATCAGCCAAACACTCAATTCCACGAATCCAGGGCCTGTTCCATGGACACCGACACGGCCGACTCTGTCAGGAGGTATAGCTGCTGGTCGCATGTCGGGTAAGGCATTCTTTTGTAACAAGGGCATCTACCTTCTCACGTTTAGATAGGAACGCCTGCTCAGATCGCACGGCCTGCTGAAGATATTAACTTGACTGTTGACGATAATCGCGTACGGAGGAAGAATACCCCCGGTGACCAGAGCATGCGAAGAACGATACAAGATCTCGTGTATAGTGTTGATCCCAACGTCAAGATCGAGCCAGAGGTGGAAGATGTACGCGTTGTTTTTTCTGTCAATTGCAAACGAAATGAAGACTTGCATACTTAGCTCCTGTTATCTATTGCTGACGAATTCATCGATTCTGTCACCAACTTTTCGTGTCGCTTGGCTAAACATCGTGGTGGGGATACTCTGGAAGTGCGCGACTTACAACTACACCTTGGTGCGTGTTTCTTTGCTTCGCGCACACGAGTGGCGCGTGAATAATGTGTTCCTGGACAGAACGCAATCACAATATTCGTATCCCCGGCTTCTCATCAGATGAAACGCGGATATCGCTTTCCCAGCCTACTGTTGTCGCTCCCGCCGCTCCAGCGGCTACAAAGAAGGGTTCCCAAGGAACACATATGACGTTACGAAGTCAAAGGCTCGCACAGGTGCAGCAAGCGAAAAGGGAGGCAAAACTCATGTAATTCTATTGTCACCCTCCGAGACCCTCGATGCTTTTTCATGGATATTACACAATGATGGGTACTGTTACATTGCTTTTTGTACAATTATAATTCCAATTGTTTCTATCATTCAACCAAGGACGGCGATCTCACGCGTAGTACCGAGTCCACTCCATCCAGTCTTCGCACCCTCCTTCTGAGACGCCTGAGAAGGCATTTCAGTAAGGATCTTTGCTATGAAAGTGGGATCTGTAAGGGGAGTGAGATCATCACGCCTTGGAAGTTGCTGAGAAGAATGGTCAGACAATTAAACTAAGCCGTTAGGTGTTTCGTACCTGTTTAACGCGCTCATAAGGCGCTTCCCATCCACTTCTTTCTCGTACAATCAAGGGTGGCTTGGACGCGAATGAGTGGTACATGCGCGTGTCGTAGGTCCGGAAGAGAACATTATCGACACGCAAAGTGAAACGCGATAGGATGAAAATGCACGAGGGCATCACGCGCTGTTGACGAATTCAGTTTGGAATAGGAGCGGTATATAACGTAGGTCGTACAATTCTGACGATGAGGGCAGAAGATCCATTATCGTGTAGCTCGTCCTCGAATAATGGTATTTCGGCGTAGAACAGTATAGGGTCGGGTCGGGTCAGTTCGGCCATTGGAATCCCATTCGACGGATTTTCATCGTCTGCAGGAACCCAAGAAAATTCTGAAATGCTGCTGTCGGTAGATGCTTCGACATCCTGGTGGCCAGGGTACGTGGACGTATACGTCCAGTCGTAAGGTTTCGTGGCGACGGTCTTCGGCAGCGGAAGCTGAGAAGACGGATCTGTTCTGATGAAGATGTGTGTTAGCTTCGATTGCAAAGAAAGATTCCAACGAGGGTGCATGCCTGCTTTCTAGCCATTTATCTGCATACCCTACCTTGACACCGCCATCTCCGTCTACCAATTGTCCGTTCTTTACGGCTTTTAGCGCGTCTTTTGTCGAGAACGAATATTTCCAGGATGAAGGGCGGTGTTCGAGGGTCAAGAAATTGTTTCCAAATGTCATTTCTGGGAGAGGTATGCTGAGGGCCGATTGGAGGGCATCGCAGTGCTCGGCGTTGGAGATGGGGTTGGTAGATGCTGTGATGAACCAATCAAAGATCTCTATCGAGCGAGTGTTTGGAGATTCGAAGAGCTGGTGCTGGGGAACAGCGACGGCAGCCTCCATAATTGAATATTGCTGGTAGTAGAAAGGGTCGGGATTTGAAATTGTTTCCTCTGACTGACCACCATGGACTTTTCTCGCTCATCCACGCCAGAGGCTCCTCCGCAGGATTTATGGTCCTCAATCCTCGACTCCGTCTCTTCATCGCGTTCGATACCCTCAAAGCAAATTCTCTTGCTTGGCCAACCGTCAACGGGAAAGTCAACCCTCGCCGCTGCGTTACTCCAGAAACCAGTGACGGACGACGGTAAGGACGATCAAAGAACCGACTTTGCTGTTGGTTACGACTTTGCTAGCGTGAGAGACGAGGCTGACGAAGGTGAGCATGAGAAATTGTTTGCAAGCAGGCTAAGAGACTGATGTATACGCTTAGACACGCTGGCGCGTCTATCAGTCTACACAGTCCCCTCTGCAGCGCCATATTACACAGCTCTTCTACCGCACTTCCTTCCTCCGCGGTTCTCTCTTCCTCATACCCTTGTTGTTATTGTTTTGGATTGGACACGACCTTGGACCTTTGTCGACGAGCTACAGACATGGCTAGAATGGGTCGAATCGTGGGCAAAGGGGGATGGATCGCGAGAACTGGAAATCGTCCGAGAAGAATGTCGGGAACGATGTAAGTTTACCAGTTCTTTTCCCGCCCAGGAAGGCGAGTGACCAATATTCGTTTTCAGTACAGTCATACCTACAACATTACACTGAACCGTCAACCGATCCTTTACCTACATCCAATTCTACACTCTCGACGACACTTTTACCCCTTGGACCCGGATCATTTACCCACAACTCTGCCGGTGTTCCAATTATTGTGACCTGCACCAAAGCGGACCTCATAGACGACGGTAATGACATGGCTGCTGGTACCTCCGGAATGGGGAGCATGGTGAAAGGCAAGGGAGGGGAATGGGAAGAAAGGACTGACGGAATAATGCAAGTTCTTCGAACAATTTGCTTAAAATGTAAGTTGTCGTATAGATCGTTCTTCCTGTCGCTCACGGCCTCTTCAAAGACGGTGCATCATTATTCTATACGACACCCCTTCCTGCAAATCTACAAGTATTGAGACAACACGCCCTGAATATGCTTTTCATGCCTCCAGCGCCTTCCCCTGGTATGGGGACGTCTGGGGAAGCACAGGCCCCCGTTAGGAACCTTTTCCCTTTCAACCACAAGCCCAACACCTTGGACCGAGATCGTATAGTCGTGCCAGCTGGTTGGGATAGCTGGGGGAAAATAACTGTGATGAGAGACGGCTTTGATGCGAAGATGTGGGGGGAAGCTTGGGAAAAGGACTTGGAAGTCGATGCAGGCGGTGAGGGTGGAGCGAAGAGATTATATACGACATTTGTGCCTGATCAGGGTCAAAAGGTGAGTCATTGCCAATTTCGTATCCGCTGTTTTTTTTTTTTTAATGATTCATGGGCGCTCTTTCAGCCACCACCACTTCCTCCATTCAACAATCCCACCCCAGAGCAAGCGTTCCTGGCCAAGAACTACGACGAGAACTCCAAAAAGTCAGATCGAGATCCCCGTGGTGCTTTCCGGAACCCAGCAGATATTGCTGGTACTTCGGCTGGTATTGTTGGCCCCCTTGGGAGCAGCAGCTTTGATCTTCCGAACGTGGTGCGCGCTTTGTCTGAGATGGAAACTGGAATTGGAGGACCTCCACCAACCTCTGCAGAGGCCGCACCACGACGAGCGCCTGCTGGCCGAACAGCTGCTTCTGGCAGACCGACTGGTCTTTCAACACTGGGTACTTCTGGGATGTCACCAACACATGGTGCAGGACGTACGCCAACGTCACCTGCGCCTGCAGCTGGCACGCCCAGTCCGACAAGCGGAGGACAGACACAACATGAATTGCTACACAACTTCTTCCAGAGCCTACTCAGTTCGAAGGATCGGCCGGGGGCAAGCGCTGCAGCCGCCAGCCGACCCAATGTTAATGGCAACGCACATACGACTGACGAACCAAATAACTAGACGACTTTTTGAGGCGACTAATAAGGCGAGAGCATTAAAATCTCACGCCACTCGCCTGTTGTTGTCTGTTTTGGTCATTGTGTGAAATTCTCCCTTGTCCTCTCACCATCATCACCAGTGACGAGCTCGTCGTTCACTACAACCTTCACTACCCAATTCCTCGCTGCTGCCACTTTTCTCCGTATTTATTGAAATCTCCTATTTTCTTTTCTCAAAAATGGGCAAATGGTGCGACTTCGCATGTTGAGCGGCAATTAAACCCGTACTCACCGCAAGTCCATCGACAGGACTCCGGATTACCTTGACGATGTATTGCATGCGAAAATGTCTAGCTTGGTGTATGTCAAGTTAGTTTTAGTCACGGCTTAGACTCACTGCGTGGTGTTCGTAGCACTGGCGCCATTCGACGAGCGGCTGTGGAGAAAGAACCTACGATCAGCTACGAGAACTTTGTGAATGAGTTAGATCTGGGTGATTCATTCACTACCTCGCTCATTGACATCCTTGTCAAAGTGAGCCTAATTTCTATGAGCTATTCCATTTTGGCGCTGAGTAGTCGGGTTTCAGGAACTAGCGGAACGGCGCACCCGGCCGAGTATCAACGATCGCAGGCTCATCGCAGATCGCACAGCCAAGAGCCTCCGTCTGCTCGCGACTCCTCTTCGGGTTTATCGAGAACGTCCAACGACGAGTCGTATTGCAGTTGGTCGGAGGCCCATCAATTTGACTGATACATTTGTTCAAAATGAACTGGATATGGACGATGATGAAGACGAGTTTGATAGCGTGCTAGATACGGCGACTCTCGAGGGTGCGCGTGTTAATTCCGAATTGTATGATGCATTTGGCGCTGGCTGGCCAAGTATAACGAGAAGAATTGTTGCGAGTCCATCCCCGCTTTCCGATGAAGGTACTACATCTGCTCCCCCCTTGCGCTCACCGCCCACCGCGAGCCGTCCTCCACCTTGGACAATGCAGGGTACAACAAGCATGCCCTCATCAAATCTCACTCGACAATCATCTATACGGCGTCCCGTCCGCTCACGCACTGTTGACTTTAATGACTTTACACATCGTCGTCGCTCTTCGATTAGAGAGTCGTTGGGTTCCACGCCACGCCCAGAGGCAAGTGAAGTAGTAACAGAACCTCGAGAAGGAACGTGGGTTCGACCACCTCGATCAGAGTCCGCGAGGCGCTTCTTCCCCTTCACACGTACTCGGCGCCATGGATCTCCAGGCACCCTTCCATGGTCAGACATTTTGAATGTGGACGCGGAAGATGCAATGTATGAAGAGCCCTCCATCTCTGGCTCCTCGTGGAACTTTGTGCCGACGACTTTCAGTGGGATATCGCCACCTCATGGGATACATCATGCCGAAACGAGTGACGAGAGAGTACATGCTGCCGCACCCAGACTTCGACGTGGAGGCTTACGTGCCCCTGAATCAATGATGTCTCGACATACATCCCCCATCATCATCAACACAACTCCTGCTGATACGAACATCCCTCCTCCCAACCCCACCTCACCGCGACGCGAAAACAATGATTTTGGAGCGGCAAACTCAGAGCCGGTCGCATATCCCACTCCAGGCTCGAGTGAGAATGAAAATATATCTTAGAACGTTGTGTAAATATGCCCCGAGCGGACATTTTGGCTTTGGTTTCAAAAGAGAGTGTACGACTATCTGAAGATATACCTCGTAAATATTGGATTTTGTGTTGGTCTACAATGTCTAAATTTATTCTTGACCGTCTCCTTGAAACTGCATCACTGAATCACCGAAGGTCTACGTTGAATCCTCTGGAGCGTTCAAGACGCGTTCAAGGCATGCAACTGCCACATTGATGGCCCAAGGCGCTCTTTCATGCAGTCTCTTGCATGTTTGCCTTCCGCATGTTCAAAACGAGGGGACCATGATGCATTGGTTCGGTTTCTTGATTGACTTTCAAAACCTCAGCCAGAGCCACCGCCTAGCTCTCCATCTTCCCGCTATGCAAAATTACTTTGCTTCCTCTATCAACCTAGACAGAGTCGAGCCAGCAAATAACGCCGTCGCGGAATTCGAAACGAACACTCACACAATACATGCCGTTGCCAGTGCACGCCTTTACCACACGCAACTCAACGTTAAAAATTGCGAATGGAGCTACTCGCGGCTGAAGGGTACACTCAGCTTTGGTCGGGATTGGAGCTCCAAGAGCGCCGGCCAAGGTGGTGCGCAGGACTCCGAGAAGTATTGGTTCAGCTTGGTGGACAAGGATACGGGGAGGGCTGTTTGGATGTTCAAAATTCCACCTGGAATGGATTACCAGGTCGACCGGCCGTTTTTCCATGTTTTTCAAGGAAGGGTACGTCTTCGTTTGGCCGACAAGCGAGAACGGCCATTTATCTTCTGCAGACCCGCAAGTATGGATTTCTATTTGAGGACGACGAGGAGGCGGCAGTTTTTTCAAATAAAGTTGCCAGTCAGTTCTCGAGAGGCGGTAGTGAGTGCTCAGGTTTACCGCTCCCGGTATATATTTTGATTCTGCCAGAAACGCCAAAGAGATCAAGGAGCCTGAAGAGCATCGGCACAAAATCAAAATCTCTTCCAGTTTCAATATCCATGATATCTTCTCCAACGCCAAACTCGTTTCAACACGTTTCTCATGTTGGCGTGAACAAAAAGGAAGGTGTTTTCGAGGCTTCCAAAGATCTCGACGCCCCATGGAGAATCACGTTGTCGGATCTGCAAAACTACAACGTCAGAGAAGTTGAGCACAAGGACTTCAGTGAGGGTTTTTGGAAGGGAGTAGAGAACATCAGCCGGAACAACAATGATAACCTAGCCAGGTGTGATTTAGAATGTAAGTTTGTTTCGAAGGAATATGTGCTCTCCACTGACCTCTCGACCTCGGCAGCTCCATATATGCCTGATGATCTACGGCGGGCAGCGGAGAATGTTCCCATTTGCACTGTGTATTGAGCACTGGCATACCGGTCAATGAACCTACACAAGGTTTATGGCATTATTTTGATACTTGGCGCCGTGTTGTATCTTAAATTATACCAGCAGAACGTCTGAAATATATAATCGTGTGATATATGAGACCCTCTTGCTCAGAATCTTGTTAAATCTCGGCCGAAAATCCCTGACGAAATGTTAGGGCGAGGGTTGACCTACAGACATAGGGGGGCTTACAATTCAGAAACCAGTAGGTTGGGACTAAAATCCTAGTTGTATACCATCAGTAAAGGTCAAAACAGGTTATCACAATTGACACTGACTTGTTTCTCCAACTGAGCGTCATGGTGAAGTAAGCAGACCTCCATAGCAGCCATGCAGCTCGACCTGTCTCCTTCTGCATGAAGCCTCCCTCAGAGCCTGGAGGCCCAGGTCGATCGTAGATGGCTTTCCTATACTCCCAGTCAGAGAACCAGAATCGAAAGTCATGCATAACGTACCAATCTCCAATATACGCCAGGCTACCTTGATTGTGAAACTCAAATGGCTTTGGATACTCCTGATCTCTCGCGATGTATCTCAGTTTCTTAACAAGATACTTTCCCTTCTGATTGGCCACTTTTAACCGCGTTTAGTTGTGTAAATGTGTCGTAGAAAGTGTCGCCTAACCTTGAGCAGTGGCCGGTAGTGGAGCATCCTCAATTTTTGCTGCATCTCCGATGGCCCAAACGTCAGGGTTGGGCGACCCGTCCTTCATGATCACATTGAGGTGGTCGTTGGTAATCAGACTAACGAATTGATAACGAATCAAGTTTAACGGTATGCCATAAGACCTTACCACCTTACCTTTTTCCATCTTTTTGTATTTCATTTATAGAGCTGATAAGGGGGTTGGGTGCCAATCCAGTACTCCAGACTAAAAGACCGAAAGGGACTGTCGACACAACTGAATGAACAGCCACAGCTGACAAGAAGGATATAACTTACCTTCTCCTTGTTCTTTGACGATTAATTTGCGCTGCACGCTATTAGGATAGAATCAAAAATTAAGCAAAGGATCCACATACGGCTTCCACCCGTTCAACATGGTGCCTTGTTAGAATACTGATGCCTTCTCGCGAAAAGGTTTTCTCCGTATATCTATGGTCCGATGTCAACATCGATGAGCATCGACCCAAGCAAGAGACCTACTGGATTAGAGATTTATCGAACATTCCAAGAATGCTTGGTCCAACATCATAAAGGGTGATTTTGGCGAGTCTGGCGAGCACAGGGTAATGTTTGGCAATATCACTGTGCAATAGATCAAAGAGCTCGGCGGAAAACTCTACGCCGGTCGGTCCACCACCTGAAGAAGTTCAAATATGGTTGAACGAATTTACAAGGAAACGCCTACCAACAACGCAAAAATTCAATAAATTGCGGCGCTGAATGTCGGACATAGTGGGTTGGTTTGCTTGCTCGAAGCCTGCAAAAAGTCAATATGATGTCTGTAATTTATGCGAGGGGTGTTCCAACATTCGAGAATACGGCCGCGAATCCTCCTGGCATCTTTAACATCTTTCAAAAAATGCGCGTGTTCTTTGACTCCAGGAATGTTGAAGGCTATTGGAAGGTGAGGGATTTCGGGGAGAACATTGTCAACCTTGCATACTTTGCGAATAAGCACCAACAGCAATTACCAACTTATCAAAGCGCAGAGTAAATGGTGTGCCATAATGCTCCTGAGTGGTCGCATCCTCTTCTTCCCGAGGCTCCGCTGTTGCCGGACGCGTCGCAGGCATCTGGGAATAACCCGTTAAGATCGGGATGGACATAGGTTATGACGCGCACATACACATTTGAGAGTTTTCTGCGTAAAATCTACCAATAAGTCAGCAGGACTCTGCACCGCAGATGCGGACACAAACCTATTTCATCGCACCACGCTTGGTAATATGTCTGAATGGCCGCTGAGTGTGCTTTCATTGGAAAAGAAGTGTTATACATACAACTTTCGGCGTGTATCGTCGAACCTGAAAGGTGGACATTAAAGGAGTACGGACACTAATAGTATTGACTTACGGGTTCAATCGCACATCGAAATTCTAGAGTTCCTACGGCACAACTTGCGAGAAGAGGCGTAAAGTTGAAATAAGTATTGGGAGAAAGAACGGTGACGTCTATAAAAAGTAAGGGAAGATTATGGTAAGATAAAGAATCTGACGCACCCCAATGGCTCTTATCAATGCCACGCAATACTTCGTATCCTCCCCATCCTGAACCGAGAATGACGAGACGCTCCTTGCTGCGTGGTAGAGACGAGCTAAAATTTCGGGTGGGATTGTAGAGAAATGGTCTCGCAGAGATACGATTTGTGCGCAACATGGAAGTGGAAAGCAAGATGGTTTTTAGGAAGAAGTCGGGTTCTATTCAACTTGGACTCGGCTGAGTGCACCGTGACTATGACGCATGTGAATTAGCACAGCCACAACCACCATCTCTTGTGTATTTTCATGATCAAGAAGCGCACACGGCCCAATCCCCGCGTTAGAGAGATATCAAATGAAGTGGACGAAGATAATGTTCCAGAGAACGAGGTCAACATGCCGTACGTGACCTGCGACCTACTAACCCGCTTCAACTGACTTGTCACGCAGCATCGCTGACTTGATAGAACTTCGTAAGCTCAGGAAAGCGCGAGGCGGTATCGACGTTGCGAAGTTGAACAAGGGTGATGTTAAGAAGAAGAGGAAACGGACGAAAGAGGAGGAAGGAGATCAAGGTGGGCTGAGAAAAGGAGCTGCTGTGGAGGAAGAAGAGTACGCATGATGTGGTACATTTCCCCCATTCCTTTCAACAACTAACCTTCCTCAATTCAGGGATGAAGAGGAGAAAGAAGCAAGGGCCCGAAGAGTTGTGCGGGCTAACAACTTTACCCAGCAAACGAACACGCTTGACGTCGACAAACATATGATGGCATATATCGAAGAAAACCTCAAGATCCGAAGCAAACCTCGTGAAGACTCTGACGACGAGGACAAACCTCATGACCCTCAAGAAGCCCTATATAAGATTGCAGAACATTGGAAGGTTGGAAAGCCACAGCCAAAGACTGACGAGGGCAGTGTAACAAACAGTATGACGATGCTAACCGCAATCCCTGAAGTAGACCTTGGTATGGAGTACGTCTCTTTTTACCCTCTCTCCCAAGGCTCTTTAAATAACTCCCTGTCTCCAGTACGCGTCTGAAAAACATTGAAGACACAGAAAAGGCAAAACGAGTTGTTGCTGAAGAAAGGCATGATCGAAAGAAACCTAATAACGACGAGGAACACTTGGTTGCTTCACGATGTGAGCGCGGGACACTTCGCGCCATGCTGTACATTTTTCTTACGTCATTTATAGTCTATCGACCGAACATGAGGGCCAAGTCTGATGCAGACATCCTGCGCGACGCTAAGCTAGAAGCCATGGGAATGCCTCCGCAAGATGACTCGCCTCAAAGGTCCAACCAGGAGAGGACGCAAATGGCAACAGATGAAATTGTATGTTCCACTTCCTCTCATTTTATGCCGCTGAAACAAGATTTTAGGTAATGGAACGTTTTAAAAAGCGTATGCGCAAGTAACTTAATGAAATTCACTCATGTACACAGAACGATGTCTACCCTTTTCGCTGGGGACATTGACGCCCCACTAGTATTGAAGGACGATCTCTTTTAGCTTACCAAAGTTGGGTGTGCCGAGACCAGTCACTTTATATCACGTCAGTCAGTAACCAAGATCATGGAATGTTGTTGGCTCACCTGGATCCCACCCCACGGTGGACTGGAAAAAAAAATTACAAGTCAGGACAGGAAGGTTTATTGATCTTATGACTGACATTGAATCCTGGGGTGCCGCAACCGGGGTTGTTGCCAGGCACTATATCGTTAAGACCAGCTAAGCCCCTGGAGTACAACAACGGGTTCAAAAAACCCAGAGACGGCCTCCCAGCCTTCAACCGGACGTCGTTGAGGAGGGCGACAAATCCGGCAAATGTCGGAGAGGATGCAGAGGTTCCTCCAATTAAGGCAGGGCTTCCCTTGAAGATAATCTTGAACCGATTGGACTGTGCTGCCACATCTGGGTAGGCCTATATATCTGTCAGAATCCATGAGAATCAATCAAGGATAGGCGTCACTCTTCCGTTCAGATTAAAAAGGCCCTTGTATAGACCTTTGGGAAGGGCATGTACACTAACTGATCAAAAGTAATGTCACATGATTTTTTGGACAAAGTTGGTGCTATAACACAAGAACCAGACATTTTAAGAACTAAACTCTAGTGCATGAAACATAGCTAAAGAGGTGTAGATTGTATATACCAAGTCTGGGGATGAAAAAATAAAAACTCAGGATAAGGCAGGGCATTGACTGTGACAACTCCCAAAAATGGGATGTGACAAAGTGGGAAATTCTGAATGACTGCAACCTACTGGAAGCAATTCACAACTTGAGGAAGAGATATTTTGAACACTGGATCTCCCTACTATTGTTATGAGCTTCATAAAGTCTTTGGGCTAGAAAATTCTATATCCTCCCCTAAAAGGTAAATTTGAACTTGTTGTCAATTTATGTATTTTTCACTTAATATATTTGTTGGAATGAGGTAAAATGACTCCCTATCAATGTTTGTAGTGTGTATAATACAAAAGGTAGGTAGAAATGTTAAAATGAACATTGCATAATGTCTGTAGAAGCTAATTTCCAGAATTTTTCTGGAAGTAAACAAGTATCTACAGCATTGGTCCTTCTTTTCTGCAAGAAGAAAAAATGCTACCATCCTTTTGAGTTAATCCATGGAGACTTGGGATGTCTTTCAAACAATGCCTGAAGTATGGCATGATAGCAAATAGATTGTCACTGGGTATAACTTGAAAAGTCCCCAATAAAAGTACATTTTGCATAGAGCAATCATCCTAGACCAATCCTTGACATTTTTCTTGGTGAGTGGGG